AGGAGACGTGATTAATTACTGATTTGGCGGGAGACTAACCGAATGTAATACGTATGTAGCTAAAAGCGCCGCCGGCGACGGGGAGATGGACGGCGAATTCGGTGTAGCAGAAAGCGGAAAGGAGGGCGCAGAGGCCAGCGATGGTGTAAGAGACGACGATTGATGGGCCGGCGGCACGGCTGGCATGGCCGGTAGTGACAAAAACGCCGGCGCCGACCATTCCGCCGATGCCGAGTCCAATGAGATCATACCAACGGAGAGTACGGCGCATCTGATCGCCGGAGACGGCACGGACGCGACTCATCTCGTCAGAAGACGTTGAAACAGAAATAGCGCGTCGGGCTAAGCGGGAAGGCGTCACGGATAGAGAGTTAAGGTAGACGCGGAAACTAGAGAAAGAAGAGTGACCGCCATTGTTGCTGCTTGGCACCTCCATTTTCACAGGCCAGATTCGGGTCGATTTGAAGAGGACTGAGAATTTTATGATTTTGACAAGAGTTGGTTTTATAATAGAGATTAAGAAAACTGTGTGAGAGAGAAGAATAAGGATAAAGATAGTGGCGTTTTGCAGAAATTATGATGATGTTTAAGGGTATTTAGATATTATCCTATTATCATTAAGAAGAAGTTTGTTCTTATTCACCACATAAAATCTTATAAGCATCGGCTAAAAAGCTACTAAGCCAAGATGCTTATTTATCTGTTTGGTCAAATTACATTTTTTTTTATCATCTATACTAATTATGCTAACGCTTTAACTGATACATGTACGAATCTAAAACTAGTTTAGTATATATAGAAATGAGATCACAACAACTAGTAATGCTTGTAAACCATTTTCGTTTGACCACCTACATAACCACTAAAAGTGGTATCTTAATTAATGTCATTAGATTGCGTGAGAAAAGAAAACTTATGTTATTATAGACAGAAATTTTGTAAATGCATTTGTTACTAATTGATAGGTGAAGAAGTAGTAATTAAAACAAGTAATACCATAATTGTCTACAGCTACAGCTACACTAGTGGTTCGAAACGTAACGCCACTGCTCCTCCTTAGTTCCCGAGGGCCGAGGTTATGAAACCGTCACGGACGTTAAAAAGAAACAAAAACAAACGGTGTTAACTTCCGTATATCGTAAGACACGGTAACGAAGACTATGTGGGGTTCGAATGTTCACACGTGTGGCAATGAAGGCGACACGTGGGATGCTGTTTCGTTTTCAAAAGGATAAGCACACGGGTTTTCAAGCGTAACGTGACCCGAATTCGAGGAAATGGTTTTTTTGGACAATATTTATTTTCGTATATGCAACTTGCTTTGACACATTCGTTTGAAAATTGTCCTCGCTTATTTATTTGCACCCTTGCAGTTAAACAATTATGGCTTTAGTTAAGAATGTATAAGATTTTTAACGAGTAATTTTTACGATTAGGAGAATGCAAACATGTGTGTAGCATGTTCCGAAAACAATGACTAAACAGTTTTAGAGAAACTGATCTTTACTTTAAATCTGGATACCATACTTATTATATAATGTGATATAGACTTAATTAGGTGAAAATAATGTAGAATGATTTGTATATGCTATGCAAAAATTATACCGCTTACAATCACATTCATCACATTGCATTAATATATATTTTGCTGCGCGCTGCATTGCGTTAATACTAGCTTATCCAAACAAATATGAATAAAAAGATAATTAGATGAGTGTCACCAGCGTTGACACATATATTCGTATAAACCACACACACATAATATATGATTACAAATTAAATTCGACACAAAATAATATAAGGATTTCGTATGGAGTCAATCACGTCTCACATTGGCTACATAAAAGAATAATGAGATAATGAAATAGAAACAAAAGATAATGTGGAGTGGTTTATACAGTGAGTGGGATGGTCAATCTGATTGTAGATAAGATGCAAAACTCAGTTTAGGGATGGTCAATCTGATTGTAGATAAGATGCAAAACTCAGTTTAAGTCAACCCGACCACGCTTCATACACACTGTGTTCCAGACCTGCCCATCTCTGTTTCACTTATAAATTTATAAAGATATATATGTTATTTTTTTAGAGTATAAATAAAATAACATATATGTTATACTTATCATACAATTATAAGCAGCATTTTAATTTCCTCATCTCCATCTCCATATCCATAAAGCACTGACTCTGAGCATCACAGTAATTTAGCGTCTGAATGGGCCTTAATAATTTTTAGTTCGAGATTTACATGTTTGAAGTTTTGTGTTCCTGGATTAAATTGGCAGAGAAATGTATTTTTTTCTGAATTGGCCTAAAATGTTATGGCTACTATTATAGATGATAATCAATAGTAATTTTTCAGTAAAATAGTATGTTTACTGTAGACAGAGATTAGATATAGATGATAGGCGTGTAGATAATATCAAGAAGAAACCTTGTAGGTATGGGGTGCAAGAACGGGCCCACCAACAAAGAGCTCAACAAAAACCCTCAATTCTTCACTAAGTTTGGTTTTCTTTTGTAATTATCTATATCTAACCTTCTTCCTAATCATTACTACATTGAAATACAATTGATAATAAAGAGATTCGAGACCCTTCTATCGTCGTTGATCGAGTGTTTAATGTTCTTAGACTAGGTTTAGGGTTTGATTTTCAGATAATGCAATTTCAAATTATTGATTCTTAGAGATTACGATTGCGTGTGGTTTGACATATTGATTTTTTTTTTTTTTTTTGGTAAAAGTTTGAGATATTGATTTATCAACGAATAAAACGAAAAATTTCTAGAAATATGCATGAGAATGATGGATAAATAACTCAAACGGATGTTTATATAGGTTTAATAACTAGAATACACATTTGATATACGTTATCTTATTTCAATCAGATAACAAATTATGATTCAGCAACTGTAAATTGGAAAATATCTTTAGTTGATCATCACACACACCATGTAACAAACAATTCGAATCTCTCGTCAGTGATGTGAAAGTGCTGTGAGCTGTTATTAGTGTGATCAGCCCAGAAAGATAGCCCACAAGATTAATGATGTATCTGTGGATAAGTAGTTTAGCTTAGGAGCCCGTTTTAAACCTCATTTAATATAGTTTTTGGGCCTATAGCTCATTTGATAATTATGTTCTTTTTGGGCAGATATTTAAAATCGTATTTTTTGTTTCTCACTCATCACAGCCTGAAAGTTTTGCACCAGATATATATATTGTAGTTTTGTTGTTGTTAAAGGATATTTGTAGTGATCTCAGCGGGATACTTATAGTATGTCTAGTTTATAATTAGTTAAACACTCCATTTAGCTTTGAAAGCTGAAACCTGAAGCATATAATGAAAAAAAAAGATATATATAAATTATTTGAATTTCGAAGCTCAACTCTCTCCATTCGTATAGATTTGTGTTTTTCTTTTGTGGACATTTTTGAAGATAATATCAAAAGAAAACATTTGGTAACAGCCAAAAAAGCTTAGAAGAACAAGAAATTGGTAGATTTTTCTTTCAAGGCCACGTGACGAATGGATAAGAGGCCACGTCATCTAAATGCATCACTGAAATGCCAAAAAGTATCCTTGAGAACAATTGGCAGAAGACACGTGGCTTAATGCTGGTGAAGAGTCGGTCCACGCACCTTCATCGAGACCGTAACGTATCCACTTTATTTATGGATCCAATTATATTAAGTAAGTGTGTAAACCATAATAGTATATTAGTATAAAACAAGGAAACTACTTGTGAAAAAAGCAAGTACAGTTATAAATACTAAAATATTAGTTGAAGTTCCTTTGTTTTCTTTAGTTAATTTGTTGAAGTTCGCTGAGACTCGAGAATATAATTAACTAATACAATGATGATCACCCGAAAAGATAAGACAAAACTTTGTTTCTTTACAGGAGTATTATAATAATAGTGTTATAATAATATAATCTCAATTTACTATGTTTTTCTAAATAGAAACGGTGAACGGAAACCAAACTAAAACTCGTTTAAACTGAGACATGGAACTATATAAATAGTATACTTAATTAGTTAAGGTAAAGGTCGTGAGTGTTGAACTCTTTAATGGTCATTACACTTAAAATTAAAATAGTTGAAAATTGGGTTTTGACTAACATTAAATGACCTCAACTGTCAAAAAAAATTTGGTCAAAATTTGCGGTACAGAACTTAACTGGTCAAAACGTTGGGCAATGAGGGAATTTTTTTCTATTCATCATGAAATATGTTTTTCATTTTCACAAAAATATTAAAATTTATTATAAAAAAATGAAAAACAAAGTTTAACATACCACACTGAAAGGCAAACAACAATCATAGTAGAGAAAGTAAGGTTTAAGTATTATGATTAATATCACAAAGAAAGTGAAATGAGGGTAAATTAAAGAATTAATAAAATTAATGAGGGTAAATTAAAGAATTAATAAAATTAGTGACAGGGGGAAATAGCGAAGAGACGTAGACAGTGGATTCCTTCAGCGAATGTGAACCCAAAAGAAATCTTTCTAGATTGCTTTTCGTATTTTTAGGCGGTTGTTTTTCTCTTTAATAGCTACGTGTTCCTATATTATTGGAAAATAAAGTGGCATATGCTTATAATGAGAAAGAGAAAAATAACCAGAAAAAGGAGAACTGTAACAAACTGGAGCAAAAATTCAGTCGTCAGGTCAGGTGTAACCCTAAAATTAAATAAAAAGAAATTGAAAAAAATAGAGAAGAGAGAGACAAAAGACATCCCAATTGCAGAGAAACCGTGTTGAAGTTGGTCTCTGAGCTGCTTCTTCCCCCTTTTTTTTTGTTTTTTTAATTTCCAGCAAATTCTTCTCCTTATAAATCTTTATTTTCGTTAATAAACTCTTTGCTAAGAAAAAAACAAGAGAATCCGTATAAATTATCCGAGTCTTGAAACAGTTTCTCCAACATCCAACAAATTCAGATTTTTTGGGATTTTGACACTCGAGTCTTTGTAAACCACTAAAAATCCTTTGGATATGGCGTCGAGTCAGTGGACGAGGTCGGAGGATAAGATGTTCGAGCAAGCTTTGGTGCTTTTCCCTGAAGGATCGCCAAATCGGTGGGAGCGAATCGCCGATCAGCTCCAGAAATCTGCTGTTGAAGTTAGGGATCATTACGAGGCGTTGGTGCACGACGTCATCGAGATCGATTCCGGCCGAGTCGATGTCCCGGAGTACATGGACGACTCGGCGGCGGGTTGGGACTCGGCTGGTCAGATCTCGTTTGGGTCCAAACACGGCGAGAGCGAGCGGAAAAGAGGAACTCCTTGGACAGAAAACGAACACAAGTATGTTATCAATTCCCAGTTTTGAAAAAGCTCATTTGCTATTAGCAATATTAGGGTTTTGGTTAAGCTGGTTGATTTTTTTTTTTTAGGAATTAACACATATTTTGTCTCTTTCTTTCAATATTGTCGCAATTCGCTTAATTTAGGTGGTTAATTACATTGTTTAATTCGAATCTTACGATGCAGATTGTTTCTGATCGGATTAAAGAGATACGGTAAGGGAGATTGGAGGAGCATATCGAGGAACGTGGTGGTGACGAGGACACCGACGCAAGTCGCGAGTCATGCTCAGAAATATTTTCTTAGACAGAACTCGGTGAAGAAGGAGAGGAAAAGGTCGAGCATCCATGACATAACTACGGTCGATACTAATTTGGCCATGCCTGGTTCCAACATGGACTGGTCTGGGCAGCACGGGAGCCCCGTTCAGGCTCAGCAGCAGCAGCAGCAACAGCTCATGTCGGAGTTTGGTACTCCGGGTCATTTTGAGGATTTCGGTTTTCGGATGTGATAAAAGGGGAAGAAGAAATTGGTTTATGGTTTTAGCTTATTAGGGTTTTACTCATTTTATGTGAATAGGGAAAGATATAGAATTGGGTATTTTCTGATACAGATGATGATGATGGCGATGAAAGAATAAAATAGTTTGTATAGGAAAGCTTTTTGTAACACACAAATATGTTTTAGTACCATTTCTGTATTTTCAATCAAATGCGTATGGTGGTTTTCCAAGTTAAAGCAGTCATTTAAACTTTCGTTTAAAACTTGATTTTTTAGAACACACAAACAAACAAACAAACAAACAAACACACATCAGGAGTGAATCTCTGAACAAGTACAAAGTCTCAAACCAAAGGAGGACAAAGGTCAACCACGTTTTATTTTTCACTATTGCTTGCCTTATGACCAGATGCTACTGCGAGTGAAGAACTCAGGGCTTGCTCTCCTCTGGTTTCTACAGAAGAGTGAAAGCAAACAATCAATGAACGGATTCTACTTTGTTTGATATGTTCATTTGTTTCGAAAGTACAGCCAAATTCGAAAGACTACGGATTCTGACTACGTGTCGTAAAACTGAACCACATGGATGAAAATGACGAGTGGAAGTTGATAGTGTGATGAAAGCTTACCTTGCCTGCACTTCCTTTCTCATTTTCTGGCTTCTGTTGCTCGAGTTTCTTCTTCTTCTCCAGTATCTCCCTCTCCATTTTCTACAACAGAAAAGGTTGGATTCTTTATTCTTAGAAGTGGGTTGTAAACTATAAGATAAAATAGCTTCATACACTAGACCGCGTGCCACAATACATTCATTCAATAGTTTTTTCCACCAGTCAAAGCAAAATCTTCTGTAACTTAAAGCTCATACCTCAAACTAAAAAGGAACACAACAAGCTATAGAGATTCACACATAGTATTTCCAGTATTTGACCATTTCCATTCCTCGTCTGTACAAATCTATATCCTAAAAATTGGATCCAAGTTAAAATTAGAGCTCTCCGAAATGATATTTCGATAAATTATCTGTGATCGGATTTCTTTACCGGGATTTTCTCAAACATCGAATCCAATAAGCAACAACGTTATAGACCAACTCTTGTAGCAATCCATACAGAATTAAAGAGATAAAAAAAAAGAGTAGAAGATGAAGAAAAACCTGGATGTACATGCTCTCTTTGGCACGTTCCTCTTCGCTGAGCACACGACCTTTATCGTCGCTGAAGCATCGGAGCGCTGGTCCTCGAGTCGTTTCAACGGAACGAGATGCACTAATCTGACTCTCCCCCAAGGACCGAGCCAACCCTAGCCGTGTGATCGCAGCACGAGCCGATGACATCTTGCTAATCACTGAGATTTCTCGATTTCGTTTTTTTTTTTTTTAAGTTGAAGACTCGACAAGTAGAAACCGTCTTCCGGAATCCGGAGTGAACGAGGGTCTCGTGGGGTTGAAACTGAGAAGCTTGCTGGTTGGTGACGGGGAGAGTCGCCGGAGAAGAAATTGGTGTCGGTGAGAGTGTGTGCGTGCGGCGGATTGGCCGAGAGAGTGTGGTCCGGTCTTGATTTTAGTGGAAACTGACGTTGCGGCGTAACCGCGTTAGGAAAGTAGATATTTATCTAAAATCTTGAGGCCTAAACTATATGGGCCCATAATATTTTAATAACAATAAATGTTTAGGTGATTAATATTCTCCAAGCTCAAGCCCAAGCCCAGAATGACTTTCGTGAGTGTTGAAAGCTAAAGTAGGGTATAGCTATGTTCGACTCCGTCTTTGCTTAGACAGAATTCAGAAGCGAAGTGGGAACGTCGTTGTCGACAAATGTTTCGTAGTTCTCCGATCGTTTCTGATTTTATTCTGATTCCGGTGAAGAAATCGAGCCTCCTCCACTGAACTTGACAGGTTTGTTATCTAGGGTTTTTTTTTTGTCCCTTTTCCAGCATTTCGATGTCTTTGTGTGTGGCTTTGTTTGTTTACATGGTACTACCATTTGTTTTTGTTGGATTCGCTGCAGTTGTAAGACATGGACAGGATCAGTGTGTTGGCTGATGACTTGTTGATTAAGATATTGTCGTATGTTCCGACGAAAGTCGCAGTATCCACTAGCGTTCTGTCTAAGCGATGGGAGTATCTTTGGATGTGGGTGCCTAAGCTCGAGTACATTGATTACAAAGACCCTGATGATGACGTTTCCGTGTCTTCATTACGAAGGTATCGAGATTTCATTCACAAGAAGCTTCCTTTACACAGAGCTCCCATCATCGAAAGCTTGAGCCTTGCTTTTGATCATCGCTTGTTTCGACCTGAGGATATCAGACTGTGGATTGAAATTGCAATCTCTCGCGGCGTACGGGAGCTAATTATCTACTGTGGCCCTTCCTATGACGACCTCGAAGTAGCATTGCCGAGTAGCTTATACACCTGCAAAACTCTCGAGACTTTGAAGCTTGAAGGGACTCAGGTTGTCTTGGATGTTCCTCCAAGGGTTTGTCTCCCTTCCCTGAAAACCTTGAAGCTTGAAAGTGTGACATGCGGGGATGAAGATTCTCTTGGATCGCTTCTGCCTTGCTGCCCTGTTCTGGAAGATCTGGCTATTGCACGAGAAGAGGGTGACAATATGGAAGTGTTGGTTGTTAATCACCCGTCCTTGCAGAAGTTTTCGTTACTGATAGAAGATCACTGTTCTGGTGATGGATCTGTGACGATAGATACACCGTCTTTGAAGCACTTCAGAGTTGAGGACATTAGAGACAGATTCACCTATTCGATTAAGCACATGCCTCAGCTGGAAGAGGCAGAGATCTATGTTTTCCGAGGTCTCCAACACTTTGTCGAAGCAATCACATCTGCGAAACGTCTCTCAGTAGAAGTGCTTTCCAACAATGACCAAGAGGTAATCTGTTTTACATCTTATCACTTGCAACTTCTCTATCGTATGATTTCATTTATACAAACACTAAATCAGATTTTCTTGTTATTTACTTGTGTGCAGTCTATGTACCGTTTTGGTATTGTCTTCGACCAGCTTGAACAGCTGACCCTAATTAGATGCGACGATTATTGGTCAAAGTTACTTGTCCGGTTGCTCAATGATTCTCCTAAACTGCGAACCCTCAATCTCTGGCTCCATGTAAGTTTCTTGGAAGATTCTTTTCCGGTTTAAAAGCCTTTAATCTTACTATATTTTTCTTCTTTCTTTTACTCTCAGCAAGATTTTATGGAGAGTGAAGAACCGATTAGCTGGAGCAATGAGGAGAGTTCCATTCCTGAGTGTTTGTTGGAGAGTCTTGAAACTTTCGAGTTTGCAGAGTACAAAGCATTAGAAGAAGAGAGAGATTTCTCGAGTTTCATCTTCAAACATGCTCGTTGCTTGAAGTCTCCAAAGATCTCGAGTTGATCATGTTATGTTCCACAAGAGAGACTTGAAAATTTACCAAAGCGTCGTCGTTGTGTTTGAGAATGGATGTTAGGTTTGTTTTGCTGTCAAAGAATTTGGTATTTTCAACAAAACTTCTGCCTTGTTATCTTTTGGTTAGTTTCTATATTCTGGTTTGTGTAATGTGTGCCTTTCGGCTCAAGTCTCTTATTAAATAATAATAGAGCCAACTCAGGTTTTGGTGCATTCGTCTGCTTATGCTTACACGCACTCTCTCATATACTAAAGCTTTTAGTATGAAGACATCTGATTAGCTACTAAAATACATGAATCTCAATTGAGCAACTTAATAGTAGTTGTTAGGCAAGATTTTTTGAAAAAACAATTATATTTATTGAGAGTAGTTTACTCAAATTACCCAAATATTAGCAAACAAAACCCTACATATATGGCCAATACGTAAATCTCAAATCTACTTCTCTTGTAGGCAAAACATGGCCTAGAGAAGTTCATCTGTGGAATATATGACTATATAAAATAGGGTATGTTGGTTATTTGATACCCAACTAGATAAACACCAAGAAAAGCATTATTGAGTAGAATTCGGAAGAAACCGTAAGATAACAGGTAGATTCGGGTTAAGGTTCGGGCCCGGGTTTTTGCTTGGGTCGAGTGGCTGAATCCGGAAGAAACCGTAAGATAACTGTAGACAACTATTGTTTGCAAAGGACATTATTAGTTCGTATTAAGGCCCATTGGGCTACGGCCTAGTTTTGTATCCAGTTTCATTTTGTTTTGGGTCAACGAATAATAGTTTTTCTTAAGATCATCAATCTCAAGACAATAATTGCTCTACAATATTGCAAAGGAAAATATATTGCTACACAACAATTGATAGTACTATTCAATTCTTTTAGTAGAGACGAAAAAAAAAATCCTATTATTTTATTCTTTGTCTTGTGTTTGATTGGCCTGATTGGATTAGAGGAGAAAAGAATACAAAAGAAAAGATATTTGTTATAGCAACGTATATAAGTTAGAACGTCACCAAGCAAATAAATAATCTCTAAATTCGCCTCACTCTCACATTATTTTTTTACCAATTTGCAAGTATTTAATTAGTTACTCGTAGAAATTATAAGAAAAGAATAAATATACTATACGACCCTTGGTTTAAGTAGATGTACAGGTGGACAAGCATCTAAAAAGTGACGTCAAACATCAGCAGATTCAGCACTCCATCATCTTTTGTTATCACAAAACGCCAAATTTCTCTCGCCATTTTAGATTTTCCTTGTTCTCTGACTTCGGAGAAAGAACTTGTTTCAACTTCAATGGCGTTCTCGAATACTACCTTCTCTGCTTCTCATTTTTCCTCTTCCTTTACTTCTTCTCGTCCTTCTCCTGCGATCAGCAGGCACACTCGTTTTCCCGCTCAAATTTCTTCTCCAGATCTGTCGCCTGCTTTGTTCGGTGATCGCCGTAAGTTCGTCGAAGGTGTAATGTCTCTCTCGACGATGAGGTTAGCTGTTGCGTATTTTGCATATGTTGTGTCTCTTAGATCTTTCCGTTGTTTTTCTTTGCTGGGTTCAGCTGGGATTGCTGGAGATTTGTAGTCCTCTTGTTCCTTCTGATGACTCGATTTTAGTTGCTTTGTCTTCTATGTTCGGCTACTCTAAGTTCGATTCTACTGTAATCTTTGCTCTGTATGTTCTCGAATGATTTGGTAAAGTGGAACTTTTGCCTAGATTCTTGTATGGAGTAGTTGAATTCGTCCTTATGGATCTTGAACTTGAGAGAATTGAGAGAGTACTATCTGTATGTTGAGATGATTAGAATAAGTTTCTTATCATAAATTTGTATGCTTTATCTGAGACTGCTGATATATCATCTTTCATGGTTGTTTCGTTTGTTTTGATATGCAGTATAAGAAACCGTGTATATGCTTCGATAAACAGCACTGATGCCACTACTCCATCTTATCCGGTCAGTAACTTTGTTTTAGCCTTTTTTGTTTCTTCGCAATTAAACTATTGATGGGTCTTGAATCTATAGATTTGAGTACCAAGGACTTACATGTCTATGCACGCAGAGGCTCAGCAAGTAAATGTAGAGAGTATATATGGTTATGTGTAAAATATTTGATATGTGATTTGATTTTCTTATGTTTAATAGGGAAACCGTCTGCGTATGAGTTTTGTGTTGACGTGTGCTTTGAGATGACATTTGCTGGAAAATTTGATCGCAGAAATCGGAAGATGATGATGACGTCATTCCAATGCCAATGGTTTTGATAGACCAGGATGCTGACCCTGAAGCCACCATTGTGCAACTCAGTTTTGGGGATCGTCTTGGGGCTCTCATTGACACTGTGAGGGGTTCTGTTTCCTGTTTTGCTTTTATTTCTTTTCTTATTGATGTGACAGAAAAGGCTTTAGTTATTCTTGATCTTTCGGAGCCAGATTTGTAGCATTGTTACTACATGTCTTTTGGTTTCATGGAAGCCTGCTCTAGTTTTCCGCTTATGAATCGTTTATTGTGTTTGGCAGATGAGGTCGCTGAAAGATTTGGGATTGGATGTTATAAAAGGAACGGTCACAACTACGGGATCCGTTAAGCAGACCAAATTTTCTATAACAAAGCTGTAAGAGAGACCGTTCTTTCCCTACCCTCTCTTTGCTTTAGATGTTTTTCTAATCACTTAATGACATCTCACTTGTTTAATAGAATGTACAAGTTTGTTAAGGTCCACCTTTTGTTGATTGTTTAGGATCATTCCTTGGAAATATTTAGTCTCATATTATGCTAACCTAGAATTTTGCAGTGGCCCTATGAAGCCCAAGTTTACTTTTCAAACTAGCATGTGACAAGTGAAACTGATCAAATATTTCCTGTGTCGAAAAAGAATTGTTGTTGTGTGCAAGTATCATCTACAGCTACTTGTATTGTAAGTTGTCTTGTCACGTAGGCCTGAACTGATTTGTTCTTTTATTTTTTCTACACCAGAGATACTGGGCGGAAAGTTGAAGATCCTGACTTGTTGGAGCAAATTCGACTGACAATCATTAACAATCTCTTGAAATACCATCCGGTGTGCTTCAGTTTCATTTCTCCCTTTACCTTATTCACATTCACATTCTTGCTTAAAAGGTGCAGGCTTGCATGCAGCATGAGGATTGTTCTGAACACTTCCTTTGTTTAATTTTGTAGGAATGCAGCGAGCAACTTGCAATGGGTGAGACCTTTGGAATAAAGGCTCCAGAAAAGAAGGTATGATATAGTCCATTGACCTGAGGTTCATCATATGATCTCTTTTGGAGTCATCTGTTATAGGGCAGCAAGCTTTACTGAAGTCTTAATTATGTTTTGGATTCATGCGTTGACAGATTGATGTCGATATTGCAACGCACATACATGTGAAAAAAGACGGCCCAAAGAGGAGGTATGGATTTCACTAATCAGTAGGATGATGACGCCACGAGGTCATATTAAAAGTAACCTGATCTATTAGTTTACATAACCTTTTCTGGTTCCCTGTTTTCGCTAGCCTGCTTTGCATAGAGACAGCGGATAGGCCAGGTCTTGTTGTAGAGATGATCAAAGTGATGGCAGATATCAACATAGACGTGGAATCCGCAGAGATAGACACAGAAGTACTCAAAACTCTTAAACCTCCATATATGTACATACAGTGTGATTCCATTTCTACGCCTTAGAGTTAGAAATAATAACTTGTCCATTGTGTCAGGGACTGGTTGCGAAAGACAAGTTTCACGTAAGCTACCAAGGGCAAGCACTGAACAGTTCGTTGTCGCAGGTGAGTTTCTGTTTGAGTTGCTTTATACTAAAAAATCTCAAAGAAAGAGAGAGAGAGAGAGAGAGAGAGAGAGAGATATGTAAAGAATCAACTTCTCTTACATTGCAGGTGTTGGTGAACTGTCTGCGTTACTTCCTGAGAAGGCCTGAAACGGATATCGATAGCTACTAAGTGTGCTTTTATCTGTTCCAAACTGAAACTGCCCTCTATCCTTTAAACAATCGTATCTGTGCTGCGAAACTTTCAAGTCTTCTGTTTCGAAGATGTTGTCAAAATTCCTGATACTAAAAAGTGAACCATTGTGACTAGAAAAAATAAATGGGGTTCTTGATACTTGCCTTTCCGATTTAAAAAAAAGAAAGTAAAAGACTCAAAATGTTTTTCCGATTTGTTTTCCTAAAGGTTTCTTCCTTGTTTGTATTTGTCCGTTGAAAAAAGAGAGTTGTGGAAGTCTCAAAATCAATTATTGTGAAATATGCGGCAGCTGAAACTAGATTGAGTTCTCTTCTCAATAAACTAACGTGTAACTTTTATTAATCGTGCGTCGCGTTTACTTTTTGTCCTCATGGGTTTTTTTTGGGGTAGGGGGTTTTGATTATACCTCATAGAGATCTTGGAGGAAGGTCACAGAGTCGATATAGTTAAGTACATTGACTATGTCAGTGCCCCTGAAGCTGGTGCGATAGCGACATTCTCAGGCACTACAAGGGACATGTTCCAAGGCAAAACAGTCTTGGAGCTAAGGTATGAAGCATATGTGCCAATGGCCACACGATGCCTCAGCTCCATCTGTACAGCCGCTAGATCAAACTGGGACATCCAACTGAGAATTGGAAGGAAAACTCTTGAGTTTATGGAGAAAAGGTTGGAGCTTGCGGAGAAGAGAGACAGCTTGGGGAAGAAACCTGTGGTTGAAGAACATAAAGGAAGTTGGTGCGGAAGTAAAGTTAGAGTTCAAGAGGATGAAGAAGAAGCATAAAGACATATCACGAGTTAACAAAGTCTTCTTCTTGATTACTTACTTGTAGCAAAGAGCAGCAATATTTGTGTTTCTCTCAAATAATGAAAACATTGTTCAATTACAATCGAGTCGCAAACATGTCACTGCAGTGACTTTGGTATCATCAGGTGACCACGAACATTTCTCAAAGTTGTGTTGGTGCCCATCAAAGATCTTTACACATGGGTTATGTGGAGCGTAAGGACGCGTGTCCCACACGCAGAGCACATCAAATCGCACTATGATTAAACACCCCTGTATATTGAGCCGACCCAAATCAAAGCACTTTCACTTTTCCTAAAATTACTCTCAATTTATCTCTCAATTTATTTCTAAGAGCATAAATAATGACGGCTACTTAAATTAAACAGATCTCACCAAAAGAAGTTCGTTGCAAAAAATCTGACCGTTGGGGACCACACGAAGCTTAACAAATCTCACCAAAACAAGTCCGTTGTAAAAAAATCTGACCGTTGGGGACCACACGAAGCTTATAAATACAGAGAGAATGTTGACAAAATTTTAGATTTTAGCGACTTGTTTTATCGGTAACCCCCAATTACCCGATTCCTTCTTTTATCAAAATTTTCATGAATTTTAGATTTTAGCGACTTGTTTGAAACTTTAATTTATGGCTTCTTTGAAATGTTCTTGAGTTTTCCGAAATCATGCTGCTTTGAAATCCGTTTTCTTCCACCGTGGTTTTGAAAATTCTAGCTTGTTTTCTACAATTCTGAGAATTATAGGTTATGGTTAGTGTTTTTTATTTCTGGGTTTTCGCTGGCTTCTGATTGTGTTCTGATTTGCGGAAACATAGATTTTATCATAAACTTGTTCCGTTTTCGCTGGCTTAGTTTTTTTTTAAAGTAATCGCTACATATTGTTAACTCGTGCATAAATTTAGTATCCTCTGTGCTATAACCATTATGCGAACAAACCGCATTATGAAAGTGATAATCTAACTTACTTAGGCTACATTAGTTCACTGTAGGTTAAACGAACTGAGGAACCTTCTCATGTGGTTTGTGACACAGCCGATACTATGGAGATTGAAAGTACATCTGCGGACCAACATGCGAGTGTTAAAGGTGACTATATGTCCTTAGATCTTGAAATGGTGTGTTTTTCTGTTGTTTTTGTTCTTGGAGCTGACAACATATGGATCTGTTGGACTGAACAGAACAGCAAATCGAAGCACCTTATGCTGACTGGTGGGGATTTAAATCTGGGTTTGTCTCCGGCGGTCTTCTTAGAGCCAAGTCTGGCAAAAAGAAATTATCTAAGAAAAGTGATTGTGAGGACGATCAAGAGAATCTTTACAACATGGTTCAGCTATGTGTGTTTGTCTTCCCCACTCTTCTTTACAAGCTCTTCTTGGAAAACATAAAGATAATGTTGCTATTCTCTACTCATATCACTTATAATTAGATTTTGTTGTTGTTAGATTAATTAGAGAATTTATGTGTTTAAAAACTGTATAATTATGAAAACAAATTAGACATGTGCATTCTGTCTTTGTGAGATCGTTAGAGGTGTCACAAGTTTTTTTTGTTTTTTCACTATTCTGTCAGTTTTTAACACTTAAATTTTCAATTTATGTTAGATAAATAAATTAGTTTACTCATATCTGTATGTTTAATAAGCATCTAATTATGCTTTTTTTTTTTTTTTTGGAGATGCTGCATTTTGAGGTTGTTTGTTCAAATTTGTTTCAATGGTGGTAATGTTGAAAGATAATGTTGCTTTTGTCTATCTCATTTACTTACAATTAGATTTTATGTTGTTAGATTAATTAGAAAATTTAGATGTTTAAAAACTGCATAATTGTGAAAACAAATTAGACTTGAGCATTCTGTCTTATAAGATCGTTAGAGGTGTCACGAATTTTTTTTATCGAAGGGTAATAATGGTTTGGTTTGACTTCAGTTTGATTTGTTTTCCTAAAGGTTTCTTCCTTGTTTGTATTTGTCCGTTGAAAAAAGAGAGTTGTGGAAGTCTCAAAATCAATTATTGTGAAATATACGGCAGCTGAAACTAGATTGAGTCCTCTTCTCAATAAACTAATGTGTAACTTCTATTAATCGTGTGTCTCGTTTACTTTTTGTCTTCATAGGTTTTTTTGTGGGGAGGGGGGGTTGGATTTGGAATCCAGCCAATGAACTAGTCATGCTGTGTAAACTTGTGTATGCTCCTTGTCAGCAATATGCGGTGTTGATAACAATTTTTTTTTTTTTTTTTAATATATCCTGTTTAATTGATAACTAATCAGTGAAGATTTAATTAGTCTGCGAAATTTCAGTTTGCGTTTTTTAATTGCTTTGGTAAGGTGGTGACTGATTCTAACATTTTTTTCCTTCCAAAGGTGGCTAACTCAATAAAGAAAAAGAAAAAACTTCGATTAGGCGTATATATGAATTTTCAAAATGTTTCGGTGTCTAATTATATGTTTCCTGACTGATTCAATAAAATAAAAAGAAACTTCATTACCTCAGCAAATTATTTGAATTTTAGCAGGAATAAAACAAAATTCACTGGTTGATGGATTCAAGGACAAATACAAAAAAAGGGGAGCGTCACCTCTTATAAATATATTCGAAAATGTCAAAGGAGTTTAACATGTAGAGCAATAACCACGATCCTATTAAATACTCCGTATCGCTAAACATTTACCATATTATCGATGACCTTTTTCGGGAATTACAATAAAAAAAAGAGAGAATACAAGTCAAACAAATTAAATTAATCTTTAGCTCTTTTTACAGCTACAACTTTTTTAGAACCAAGTGGTATCTATCGACAGACTAATTAAAGCCATGCATAGTATAGTTTATTTAAATAATAGTTTGTATTTAACATATATTACTATATATATATATTTAATTATTTATTCTATGCATGCAATGTATATATATTAGATGAAATATTTATTGATAAAGTATTACATAAATTTTAATAACTGTTATTTCATAGTTGAGTGTACACATACACTTCAATCTGAATTTCAAATGCAGCTCTTCGGTTTTTATGATTTTAGATTTATAAATATGAATATCCAACGAAAAATCTAATCTATAGATTTGTTTGGTTTGTTTATTAGGAGGAATGTGATGATGTGAGAGCAATTGCGTATAACCTTAGAATTAAAAAACCAATATAAATAAGGCCTCTCATTGTGCCAAATTTTCATCAAACTACGAAAGGGAGTTATTTTGAGAAGAAGTTGGACAATACTGACTACTTTGTATCAGCATCGTTCAGAAGATGCCAGGTTCATTCTCTATATGTAGTTCACTATATTGTTTTCTTTTCATTACTCTACTATGATGAATTGTTCACTCGTGGCAAATCTGTGTGGAAACACACAACACATGTTACCTGATCTAACTTTATTTTGATTCGGAGGAAATTTTGGTAACTACCAACGGTTTACATATTGTAGTTCTTATAACTTGTATTATAAGTTAGGTTTCGTCTGTATATGTTATTAACTTTATCGATGGCATCATCCAGATTCAGCTTTCGTTTTCTAAGCCCATATAATTTTACACCTGCATATTTCATAATGCGTGTAATTTTTTTTCGCTTGTTTAGCTTTTAATCATTGGTTTTAAAACTTGCACGATTTATAATATATGCAATCTACATATCTAATATTTGGTTATGTTATTTTTCTATTTATGTACGGTTTGTAATTTTAGGTCAAAATTGTGATTGCTTGCCACTACTACAACTACAAGAAACAAGCCTCGACGATTTGCGATGCATATTGAACCGGCGGCAAGATGCAACTACGGCGTGGATCGACACATTCGGGAGAGCACCGTTGCAAGAAGCATGTACTTGCAGTCGATTGGAGATCATCAAGAAGCTACTATTGGACGAAATGACGAGGCGTGGCCAAATGCAAGATCCTTATTGTCAGAGTTTAGCTCTCGATATTGCTGCTGGTAATGGCAATTTGAAGACTGTTAAGAAATTGTTCGAAACATATCCCGGACTGGTTGAGCAAATGAATTTAGCTCCCTATGGGCTAGCTCTACCGGTTGTGCGGGCATCAAATGCAGGACATGGAGAGCTCACTCGCTACCTTTATGAGAAAACATCTCGTGAAATTCTGATGGATAATGAAGGATATTGGGCTAAATGTCTCCTTCTTGATGCCATATTTTTTGGATTTCTCGGTAAGTCTTTTGACTACTTGAACTACATATAGAGAATGAGCCTGACAACATTATTCTATATGTAGATAATGATTTGTTTTCATGGACTGTTAGACATTGCGTTGGCCATCTTCGACGAAGTCCCGCCTGTGGCCGTGGTACAAAGGCCGTCTCCACTTAGGTTCTTAGCTTTGAAACCTGACTTCTTTCGTAGCCACTGCGATCTTGGATTTTGGCGAGGCCGTGTCTATTCTTGTATGTATCAGTCTTTATAATCCAAATATTACTCTTCTTTTTTTTTTTTTTTTTTTTTTTCATTTTAATTTTTATCGAACTTAATTAATTAATTGTTCATATAGAAATTTATTCCTTTTTGGTAGGGATAGGCGACTTGGATTTTCCACCTGATCAGTCTAAGACTTGGAAACCAAGCCGTTACCAACGTATGCCATGCACATCGATCCATTTTGGTCTCTCATCCCAAAATATCGAATTATTTTAATATTTATCCAAACTTCATGAATCTATGCTAGAGTTCACATATGTATATACATCGGACTTGTTTTTATATGAAAAAAAAAATTAAAAAATGAATTGCTTTCTCTTATACACTTTAGATGCAAGCCACTCCCATATCCTTTTGGCGCTCTTGTAACATATCCTTTTTTGTTCTTTGTCATATATAGGAATCATGGAGATATATGTGCTAAAAGATAGACATTCTAAAGCGGATTCATTGCTAAAAATAATGTGCAAAGCACTAGCAGATTTGGAAAAGGACGAGAGCTGGAAAGAGACGGTCTATGACGCACTACTTGTAGCTGTGGAGAATGGGAACAAGGAATTTTTCATGGAGATAATCAAATGCAACCCTGAACTTGTTTGGATCTCTCAAGCTGACTCTGGTCGAAACCTATTTCAGCTGGCCGTTGAATTCAGGAAAGAGAAGATCTTTAACCTCATATATGGTTTAGATGATAGAAAGGTCACGCTGCTTAGATCTCGTGACAAAGACAACAACAACATTCTCCATATCGCCGCTTATCTATCTCCTCGACCTGAACACCTCTCTAAGATATCTGGATCTGCCCTCAAGATGCAAAGAGAGGCTCAGTGGTATGAGGTAGTAAAGAGCTTGGTATCAGAACGTGAAGTAGTGCAAAGAAACAACAAGAAGATGACCCCACGACAAGTATTTGAAGCGACTCACGAAACCCTACGAAAAGAAGGAGAAGAATGGATGAAATACACAGCCACGGCTTGTAGCTTCGTGGCCGCTCTCATTGCAACTGTCACTTTTCAAGCCGTATTCACTGTTCCTGGAGGTTATGATGAGATTTTGGGTAAGCCTCTTCTTCTTAGAGACTTACATTTCACGGCGTTCATCATAGTAGACACTCTCTCCTTCTTCGCCTCCTGCATCTCTGTGCTCATATTCCTCAGCATTCTCACCGCAAGATACTCTTTTGACGACTTTATTGTATCACTTCCTAGAATGATGATATTAGGTCTCACCATTCTATTCATCTCCATCGCCTCTATGCTTGTTGCATTCATCACTGCGGTTTCCGCATCGATGCGACAAAGGCCAAAGCTTGTAATCCCACTGAAGCCACTCGCCTCCTTCCCTGCCCTTCTCTTCTTGATGTTTCAGTTTCCTCTTCTCAAGGAGATGATTTCTTCCACGTATGGCAAAGGACTCTTCCGCCGCGACACAAAAAGTTGGTTATTATCCGAGAATATTCAACTACGTGACTTCTTTATATGAAGGATCACACAGTCACTAATCAATTGACAGAGATAATCAAGCTTCCTCCCTTGCTCTCTCAACGGCTAGAAAACAATTTTATATGCTTTATTGCATATTCTAAATATCTTACTTGTGTATTACTAGCTCTAGGTTACTAATGTCTTGTTATTCAAAAATGTTTAATTATCATTGTTATGTTTGTTCTGTTAAAATCTAATGTTACTGTTCTGGGATAATAAATTCCTTGAAGTTCTCATAACTAAAACTTTATGAATACACAAAAACATTTTTCACAAGTTTAATACAATCTTCCTGCTTTTAAAATTTATGTATGTTCAACTCCCATTGAACCTTCCTAAAGAATAATCATGTGTGTGTAGTTGTGTACTGTATATATTGCATAAGGGTCTAGAAGTTTAACAGATTGTACCGTAGGGGCAGATGTTGGTTTCTGTTTTATAGGATTTTGATAAATTTCCGGAGAAGACCATCAGAAATCATATTCTAAGACAAAGGGAAACAAAGAAGACTGCACTGACTCTTGAGTGCGTGATGGTGAGCTAATATATATTGCATACAAACTTTGCTACAGATTAGCAGTGAGTTATTTATACAACAAGCGTCTAAGGGCTCGGAGGGAAAACCAAGAACCTACTCGTCGAGCCAATCCAGGCTGAAGCTTTTTTCAGCTGCTTCAACACGAAGTCCTGGAACCGCCTTCTCCACATCTTCCCACATCCACAGAGACTCTATATCGCATATTACATGGCGTAGAGAAGTCAATGAAACCGCAGAGCTCGGTACGCTCGATAAGCTGCACTCTCTCATGTCAATTTTCTCAAGCGTCCTGAGCTTTCCTATCTCTTCCGGAACAGAGCTCAGGCTCACACATTGAGAGATGTCTAGGTACTTCAGTCTTGGCAGCTCGCAGATTTCAACAGGCAGAGATTTCAGCTCCGGGCAAGCGTAAAGCCTCAGAAGCTGCAGGGCTTTTAGCTTACTCAGATTCTTAGGCAGCTCGCTGATGCGGGGACAGTTTGTTATGCTGATAGAGTTGAGAGAGGTGATTCCACAGACGGTCGAAGGTAGCTCCACAAGATCATCACAATGGTCTATTGTGAGGTCAGATAACTTTGGGAAGACCTGGGCCATGTCTACTGCTGTCTGATCAAAGCTATCGTTGATTTTGCACAGGATCAGAGACATCTTGTGGAGGTTTCTCAAGGGAACAGTGCAGGTAGAGAGTTCAGGGACATGAACCCTCTCAAGCCAGAGACTCCTGAGTTTGGCCAAATTGGTAAAGGTTGAGAAGTCATGTAGACGCGCAGGAGACATACTGTTGTTGATAATCACGAGCGCCCTAAGCCTGCTCATCTTAGCGATAAAAGGTGGCAGTACGTAGTTGTCCGAAGTGAAGTTTAATATCAGAACTTCTGCCTTAGGAAGTTCCATGTCACACCAATCCATTTCCGTCATTTCCTCTGTAATCAAAACATAAATCCATATCAAATTATGATTCTAGTGACAAACCAAACCAATTGATTAGAAGATCGTTGTATAACGAGTTCTTGCCTGTGTGAATGGAAACCACCCGGGCATTGAATGGCTCATCATTTTTCCTCTCCCATTCTCTGGGAAACACCGACTCTCTTTTCGGCATTAATAGCCGCTCTCTTCTGTTTACTATGCCACGGTTGCTAAGATGAATTGCTAGGTCTCTTAGAACATCATGCTGCGTCACAAATATATCATAGTAGCTTGTGTACATGGCGCCAAACCTGCAAAGTTTATCCATGGTAAATTAGTTAACAAGGGGTTAAAATCACACAAGGGGCTACAAGAGATGTTCTATAACTGTACCTTGGATCTTTCACGAGAGTAAGGAGGTTCCTGTTTGATAAATCAACAAGAACAGCAAAAGCAGTCGCGTCCTCGAGACCATGCATCTCAACCCACATGTTGATGATGACATCAAGAGGGATCTTCTTGTCTTCAGGGAAAGCACCCATATCCAAGAAACATTCTCTGGTTTTAAGGTCCAGAGTTTCTAGGGTTGCTTCTATCTGAGCAAACACTCTGCTCTCATGAGTTTCATCAGCAGGTTCACCTCTTGATAACCTGTTCACTGCACCTTCCCAATATTTGTCAGGTCGGCCTTTCAACGAAGCACCAACAACTTTCAGAGCCAAAGGCAGACCTTTACACTCCTTAACAACCTACGAAACAGAGTCAACAATATGAGTACAAAAAGCAAAGAGAATAATATCATCAATATGTATCTATCACTTGTAGAAGACCCCTTACCTGCTTGACCAAATCTTTGCTGAACCCCAAAGGGACTGATTTCTGGTCGAAAGCAGAGAGACAGAACAGAGACGTTGCTTCAATTTCGTTTAGCAACTCTACATCATAGGTGGCTCCAGGATCTGCAAGTTTAGACCGTGAGACCACAAGAGTTGTGGTTCCAGGAATCTTAAACATCAGCTGGTCCAGGGATTCCCTTGTCCAAACATCATCTAGGATCACTAGCTTCTGTAATTGACCAATCGATGCCTGAGGAGTGGCACCAAATCGAGCCTCAAAACCAGTAAGAAATCCCCAAATATGTGCCCTCAGCTCCTCAAGATTGGGAGATTGTGACACGGTCAGAAACAAAACTCGGTGCCCGAAGTGGCCTGTAAAATCCGCAAATGAAAGCCTTTTCAGCATCAGAGAAACAAAGAGTCGAATATCAAGAACTCACTAAACCAACTATACAATAGTTCACCAAAGAAGAACATGACATAATCCGACATACATGAAAATCCAAATCAACAAAACATGACATGAAACAGCTCCACAACCTTATTAACCAGAGAAATCGTGAAAGCAAACACATAAGGCTAGACAGAGCTTAGTGATTTACCTAGGACATCCTCGTCCCGCGCAAGCTCTTTAGCAAGAGTGGTTTTGCCTGAACCGCTCATCCCTGAGATCCCAATAAGTCTTGCTTCGTCCTTCAGATTAAACATCATCTCCTTCACCTTCCTCTTTCCCAGATCCAACCCAACCCCAAGATTTCCCAAATCGCCCTCTATCACCGTCTCCATCGTAGCCTCGGCCGTCTTCATCGCCTCCCGCATTAATTCACCTCCCCTGATTTTCATAGAGCCCAGCTTCTCATTCAAGCTATTGAAACTCCTGTCGATTCGATCCAAGCGCACTTCAGAATCGGCACGAAGGTGATGGACGTCAGCGAGAATGTGGAGAGGCATGCTCTGAATGAAAGAAGAGATCTTCTTCTCTAGATCCTCCATTTTCTTGACGTGGTACAGCTGACGAACCATGTTCCAACGGTGGCATTTGAGAACCTTATCGGTGAGCTTCCTGCACTTGTCTAGGGTTTCGGAGAACATACGCAGCTGGACCTGGCGATGGGAACTGACCTCCACGCCGCTGTAGAGGATCTCCTTGATGGTGGGTTGAACACCCTCGATCATGGTGGCGAGGTTTTGGGCGACGCCTCTGCACCTCAAGGCTTTTCTGGATACAGCGAAGAGCTGCTTCACGAGCTCCGTCACAACTTCGCCGCCGATAAGTTCAGCCATGTTGGTGTAGGCCGATGAGAGTCAGAGTCGGAGAGAAGATAGTTGGTGAGTGGAGGAAGAAATGTCCCAATGGCGGAGTGAAGTAAACAAGTAACAAGTAGGAGAAGGAAACGTGGGACCCACTACTGACGAAGCTTCATAGCAGTTACCTTTGTTAAAGTCGCCGGAGACCCAATAGAGAAAGACTGACTTTTGGCGATCTTCAGAAGAGACGATAACAATGCCACGTCATCCCCTTCAATTATTGTGGATGGTGTGTGAAAAAGAAAGCGCCAAGGTAAAAACGGTGAAAAAGTTAAAATACCCTCTCAATATTTTTCTCTCTTTTTTTTGGCCTTTTATGCGAGGGTTAAAAACGGTGAAAAAGTTAGAGAAGATAAAATAAAGAAAAATAACTGCAGTGGTGGAGACGCCGGAGATAGTAATCGTCGTGGATCGAAAGGGGGAGAATTTGAGTTTGAATGGCGGCCTTGGCTCGTCTTCCACTAACCCATTCTCTTCCGACCATCCTCAATCCTTCTCTCTTCCTCCGTCCATCTCTCTCCTTTGCTTCTTATCTTCATCGCTCTCCTTCCCGCTCCGTCTCTCCAATCCTCTCCTCCTCCCAGCCACAGGTCTATCTCTCTCTTCCTTCGAATTCCTCTTAGTCTCTCTCTCAGTTTCTTTTGTAGTTTCTGAGTCTCAATTGTTTCTTCAGGGTGAGTCTAATGCGTCGATCGTGGGGGATCTTCTGGATTACCTCAACGAATCCTGGACACAGTTTCACGCCACTGGTAACAGTGAAACCCACTCTCACCTTGTTTTTTTTTTTTAATTTGTTTCGGTATTCTTTTTCTGACTCTGGTTCATCTATTTGCTTTCAGCTGAGGCCAAGAGACAGCTTTTGGCTGCTGGGTTTGATCACCTGAGTGAAAATGAGGACTGGAAGCTGAAACCTGGTGGCCGTTACTTTTTTACAAGAAACATGTCCTGTTTGGTTGCTTTTGCTGTCGGGGAAAAGTGAGCTTCCGATTCATTTATGTTTCTAAAATTGGTTTGGCAATGATCTTATTTAGTAAAGCAGCGAATTTTGGTACTATGTCATGATTGAAGAGCTCTTCGCAAAAATCCTCTTTCGTAGGTTACTTATATGTTCCTTGTTTTATACAGGTATGTTCCTGGGAATGGTTTTCATGCCATAGCTGCTCACACCGATAGCCCGTGTCTCAAGCTTAAACCCAAGTCAGCGTCATCTAAGTCTGGCTACCTCATGGTGAATGTTCAGACTTATGGAGGTGGTTTGTGGCACACCTGGTTTGATCGAGACCTGAGTGTCGCGGGGAGAGCCATTGTGAGAGCCAGCGATGGCTCCTTTGTGCACAGGCTTGTCAAAGTCAAAAGGCCATTACTTCGAGTTCCCACTTTGGCCATTCATCTTGATCGGTAACTTTCTTTTATGAACTTGTCTAATTTAGTTTTTAGACTAATGCATGCATCTCCTTTCAAGTATCAATGTGGAATTGTTGTACTAGTTTCGAAGCTCACTGGTGCTTTTTTGTTGTTGTGCTTCTTGTATTTTTTTAGCACAGTGAACAGTGAAGGATTCAAACCAAATTTGGAGACCCAGCTTGTTCCGTTACTGGCGACAAAACCAGATGAAATCTCTGCAGATTCAAAGGACAAAATCGCATCTCCATCTTCCAAAGATGCTCATCATCCATTACTCATGCAGGTATAAGATAACTGGGTTATTTGCTAGATTCAGTCGTCGTTATCATCTGTTAACATTGCACCAAGTTTCTGCAATATTAAATCACGAGAATTTTTACCAAGAATATGGAGTTAACTTTGCTGAGAAATTATTTCCTTATTAACATTTTGACTTACTATTATCATCATCATCGTCACGTCTTTTCTCTGAATGTCTGATGTGGATTATTTTATCAACCGTAAACCGTAAATATCTCAAAGCTTGATGACCATGTTGCAGATTTTGTCAGATGACCTGAACTGTAAGGCCGAGGACATAGTGAGTCTTGAGTTAAATATCTGTGACACCCAACCCAGCTGCCTTGGAGGAGCAAACAATGAGTTCATATTCTCTGGAAGACTAGATAATCTTGCATCAAGTTTCTGCGCTTTGCGAGCTCTTATCGATTCATGTGCATCATCGGAAAGCCTGTCAAGCGAACATGACATCCGGATGATAGCTTTATTTGACAATGAGGAGGTACCCCTTTTCCTTATCAGATAATTCCTCAGGTTGCTTCAGTTTGAGCTACTTATTGACCACACCATCTGCCTGACAATCCCATAACTTTTTTTTTGCTCCAAGCTGATGATGTGCTAGCAATGTCTGAGATTTCCTCAACTTCTGCCAAGTAAATTGTAGAAAATGTTTTGGTTTTAATAGGTAGGTTCAGATTCATGTCAAGGTGCAGGAGCACCTACTATGTTCCAAGCAATGAGACGGATTGTGAGTTCCCTAGGCAATGAGCAGGTCACCGAGTGTACCTTTGACCGTGCTATCCGGAAATCTTTTCTCGGTATGCATTTGCTACTTTCCGGTGGTTTATGCTGTGGAATTTCCGTATGGATGTTTCTGAGTATTAGATTCTTGTTGTTGCAGTGTCTGCAGACATGGCTCATGGGGTGCACCCGAACTTTGCAGAAAAGCATGAAGAGAACCACCGTCCTCAAATACACAAGGGTCTGGTTATCAAACATAACGCAAACCAACGCTATGCAACCAGTGGAATCACCTCTTTTCTTTTCAAAGAAGTAGCAAAGCTCCATGATCTTCCAATTCAGGTTTGGTATTCTACTCAGGGTTAAGAAGCAAGAGTAAACAACATAAAGGGAATTGTTTACTTCTCTGTCTTCATCATCCTTCTGTTCAGATGTTGGAAGCATTGAACATATGCTCTACATTAATCCACCCATATTTTGAGAATGGTATACAAACAATTAGATATTTCGTTATTCTTGCAGGAGTTTGTGGTGAGAAACGATATGGGATGTGGTTCAACAATAGGGCCTATATTGGCTTCAGGAGTCGGGGTTCGAACCGTTGATTGTGGCATAGCTCAGCTTTCTATGCATAGGTATGTTAATGACTCATATGTTAACAGTTAGTTCTCATGTTTCCAAATCAAACTACGTTACGCTCAGCTTCTGGTTTTTTGGAACTTGTTACTTCTGAAACAGTGTGAGAGAAATTTGTGGAACAGACGATATAGACATCGCGTACAGACATTTCAAGGCGTTTTACCAATCCTTCTCAAGCGTAGACAGGAAGCTCACTGTGGATGATTAGCAGCTACTGCAGAAGTTAAATGGCATATCGGTAATTTAGTCTTGCTTTTCTTGGCTATTGGTTTTCTTGTTTAATCGGAACCAAATTGGAATATAAATTTTCTTTCTGGTGGTTCCGATTTGTATCACCGCTTAATGAGTTTATCAAGGAAAATGCAAATTGGTAACATCCGTACGTAGTTCTTCCGTTTTTTGTTTTTTTACTTTTTTTTGTATCTTTTTTTTTTTGTCATCGTTTTTTGTTTTTTTTACTTATTTTACGAAATCACACAATTTTGCAAATCAGCGAACTTTTTGCCAAACTTTCATGGTAGAGACACAATGACGTCGTTCTAGACTGGCTGGCTTTTCCTTGGAATTAACAAAGTAAGGATTCTAGAAATTGTCCAAGAAGATAATCACTTAACTTAAATCAACCAAAATAAATGATTTGGAATCTTAAGCTTCTTTGTAATTTGTCGAATTCAAAAATTTTCATATAGAAGAACCTTTATCCCTCTTTCTAACAGAGAAGCTTTCCAAATAAAATAATGAGTAACCAAGCAAAGGATATATTCTATTGTAAGATCAATCAAAGAATAGGACAGAAACACCAAAGATTGTATGTTACTGTTATGCCTTGCATATACGTACAGACAACGACATTTAGTCATGAATTACATCTATATAATCCTTATTACCTTTTGCTTAATTTCTTGTAATTTCTATACTTTGTTAGGATTTAAAAAAGAAAGTATAAGATGGCAATGAGTTCTAATTACTTAGACGACGCAGCTATGAAGGAAACATTTCGGAGGAGCCCTTTCAAATTCGCTAACACGAAGGTCCCTCATGGTGGCTTAGGCGAGAGTTTCTCTCCTATAAAAGAAGTTCCTGAAGAAGAAGTTCCTAATGATCCCTTAAATATCCAGATTCCGTTCATCGAATCAGCTCTTTCCGCTTCTCGGCTTCACGGTAAGACTTTCTCAATTTCGAACCTCAAAGTAAAGCGCGTGCATGCTACTAAGGTTATTCTCATAGCATGATCTCTAGATACAAATAGATTTATCGTGTTGTTGATGTAGGGAAGGTTACGAACGTATACTATGAGTATATTAAATTAAGTCAAGGAATAAGCCAAGGTCGTGTAGAAGTCGTCAAGGACTTCTTGAACCAACGCCCGGACGCAGTTGACGAATGGATAAACCTTTACGAGACGCCGTTGTTGAAAGCTTGCGCATGTGGAAAACCAGAGATTGTTAAGGAGCTTCTGCGTCGCATGACACCTGAACAAATGCTTCCCAAGATGAGCCAGAACGCTTCTTACCACACACCTCTCACCGTCGTTGCGGTCAGTGGAAACATGGAGATTGCTGAAGTCTTGGTCGCCAAGAACCCTAAGCTGTTGGAGATTCCTGGGATCAATGGGCAGATTCCGGTTGTGGTTGCGGTTGAGAACACGCAGATGGAGATGGCTCGGTATCTCTACACTAGAACTCCGGTTCAGGTGTTACTTGATCAAGATGGGTATCATGGTTCCTTGCTCTTTCTCAATGCCATCTTCTATAAAATGCTCGGTAAGCGGTTTCTTAGAGGTCACGCAAAACATCTTTTAGGCAGTTTCGATGATAATTTATTGATCTGTCTTTCTTCATACAATCAGACATCGCCTTGGATCTGTTCGGCATGTGCAGACGCTTGGCCGTCACAAAACACTTGCAAATAGAGTCAATTCCCATCATTGTCTTGGCTTCAAAGCCGGATCTTTTCCCTGGAGGCTGCCATCTCGGACCATTGGAACGCTTCATCTACTCTTGTTCGTACCAATCTAAGACCTCTTCATATCAAAGATCAATCCTTTTCATCCAAATAATACTTGAGAAATTTAGTTTTCCTTTTCTCATATCTTGTTAGGGATACAAGTAAAGCTGCCGACTCTCCCGGAGGCTTCTCGTTCAAACAAAGACCGCCAGAGTAAGTCTCCATATGATTATAACTTCATAAAAGTATCTGTATTCCAACGAAGAAAGTGAGAAGTTTTAGATTTTTCTTGTTTTTCTGTTCTTAGATACTCTGACGGGAAAACTGCTCAAATTTCTCTCCAAATGGACCGGTAAGTAATAGGTTTTCGTCTACAAAATAGGGACACTCGATAGAAACTTACATGCCATTTTTAAATTGGAGTTGAGTGATGGTTCAGGAGTAGATGAAGTGTACCGAATGAAGGTAATGCACCTACAAGCCAAGAAGCTTCTACGCGGAATATCAGAGGAAACACTAGCCATGGGATTGAAGGAACGTTCTGAGACAGTGGACGAGGCTTTACTCTTTGCAGTAAGGTTCGGGAATGTGGATTTCTTGGTAGAGATGATCAAGAACAACTCCGAGCTCCTTTGGTCCACGAGAACGAGCTCGAGCAGTACTCTGTTTCTCTTGGCCGTCGAGTTCAGACAAGAGAAGGTGTTTAGTCTCCTCTACGGTCTTGACGACAGGAAGTTCCTCTTGCTCGCCGACAAGGACTGTGACGGCAACGGCGTGCTCCATCTCGCCGGCTTTCCTTCCCCTCCTTCGAAGCTCTCTACAGTTGTCGGCGCAACTTTGCAGATGCAGCGCGAGTTACAATGGTTCAAGGTTTGCTCTGTTTCTCTCAGCTAAAGATTGTTATCGAACACCTTGAACGATTCGAAACAGAGGAAACAAACGTCTAAAAATCTGGCCTTTCGAGTACGCAGGAAGTGGAGAGGATCGCACCGGAGATTGAGAAGGAGAGAGTAAACACGGAAGAGCAAACACCGATCGAGATATTCACAAAGGAGCACGAATCATTGCGAAACGAAGCCGAGAAATGGATGAAAGACACGGCGATGTCGTGCAGCTTAGTCGCGGCTCTCATTGTCACTGTCACTTTCGCGGCGGTTTTCACCGTACCCGGTGGAACCGACGACAATCAAGGTAAACCATTTCAACGAAAAAACAAGTATTTCATCACATTCGTCGTCTCCGATTTGATATCCTGCTTCGCCTCCTGCACCTCCGTTCTCATATTCCTCGGGATACTCACCGCGAGATACTCCTTCGACGATTTCTTGGTCTCGCTGCCGACGAAGATGATCGCAGGGCTTTCGATACTGTTCGTCTCGATAGCGGCGATGCTTGTGGCGTTCTCGTCGGCGCTATTCACGATGCTTGACGAGAAATGGATAGTTCCTCCGACGATCCTTCTCGCTTGTTCCCCGGCGCTGCTGTTTGTTCTTCTTCAGTATCCTCTCCTCAAGGAGATGATCTTCTCAACTTACGGCAAAGGGATCTTTGACAGAAGCATGAAATGTTGGTCCTAACACAAAATGTAACATAAAGTAAACTGCCACCGTGAGGTGGCTTTATACGAAATTGAAATTCTTTTAGCATCTTCTCTTTCTACGTTTCTTGAGAAAGCGTTACACAATTGAGTGCAAAATAATTCGTATATTTGGGGATATTGTATAACAAAACTGTGGAAAGACTAAACTCTGAACTGAAAAAACCAAGAGACATTTACGAATTTAGACACTTTCAAAATTTTGTTTAAGTATTAAAGCATTTATGGGTACTAAGGCACTTTGCCTTACTTTTTGGTATATGAGATGTCTATTATATCCTTTTAAATTTGTAATAAAATTAAGTAAAAATTTAGACCACGATTGATAATAAAAACTTGTAATCTCCGCCTCCTTCTCTTTCTATTTTGTTCTTCCCTTTCTTCTGCTTCATCTCTCTTTTCTGGTTTTAATGAGATTTGATTTGTTAAAAGTTTCATGGTAGTCTTTGCCTCCTTCTCCTTCTTCTGGTTCTTTCTATTTTTATGCTTTATCTCTCTTTTCTGATTCTAATGAGATTTGTTTTTAGAAAACTCTGGTCTGCAAATTAAACAACATTCTAGATACTTTTATTGATATAACAAAGTTTCGACCAAGCGTTGATGGCAGTTAAGATAAATGATTGTTTCGAAACTATGTAGATGTGGTTCTAATATTTGTTAGACGAATCAATTGGAGATTTAAATAGATCATAAGAGATGATGAAATCAGAGATGTTTTCCTGTGCTGTTAGATTGGAGGAGGACAAAGGTCATGAGAATGGAAGACATGTAAAATATTGAGAGGTATATATGGATGAAGCTTTATGGATAGTATTTGATGTGTACAATATTTTAAACACATGGATTAGGAATCGTGGATGGCTTTGGTTTGCGAATTGTGGACAAGATACTTGACACGACACATGGATTATGAATCATGGACAAGATACATGATATAGAATCGTGAGCGGTTTTGAATAGGCTAAGTGTGGGTGATGATATGGATGTATAAATATGGATGAAATTTTATGGATAGTATTTTGATAATGTGTATAATAGTTTGAACACATGGATAACAAATCATGGATGCGTTTATATAAAAGAATTGTATTGATGGTGTTTAGATGATGTAATATATGACGGCTGTAGAAGTTTTTTTATATTAGATCGTAGGTGAGATTTAAGAAATTTTGGTTGGAGTTACGTCTTCTCATCTGCATCAATGGAGCGAAAAGATTTAAGTGTATCTTCCTAACTGAAACCTTGACCAATTTATATTGTCCAAGTAGATAGATAATTTGGTAAATTCATGAATTTATTAACAATTTTCTATTGTACATATGAATAGAGAATTTTGAAAATAAATTCTGATACTAAAAAATTTCAGGTTATCTTTGTATCAACTTGGTTGAAATTAAGAAGTTCAAATGTAAGAATCATGACTAATTATAATAGACAATAAATCACGGACATTGTCTGAAGTTAATACTATAATGCAAAACATAGTTCTGAAGTTAATCCTCCTTTAGCGTTTGCAAGATGCTACTTCTTATCATCAACCATAAATATCCATGGTCATGTAAATTGGTCTCTGTCCAAACAGCTCCTGCAATGGCATAATGCATTTAGTATTTTTTAAAGTAAATCAAAAAGCTACCGATAATCAAAATATGTAAGAGACTTAAGAAGACAAATAGATAAGCAAATATGGATGAGTGTTCATAGCAAAATATCAGAGGTATTGTGGATGAGGTGTTGTGGATGAGTTAACGAAACTATAATGTAAGAGAATTACATATGTATGAAAATCTACTGACCAATAGACCAAATTGATGAGTTAGTGAGGATCAAAGATTTTGCTATAAATTTAAACATGTATGACTATAATGTTTGAGAATGGTGATAACAAAAAAATGGATGGATGACCATATGTGGAGCATAGATCTGTTTTTACTGGGATTATAGACAATCGTAATATGTAAGAAATCTAACTGAACAAATGAATGCACAAACATGGATGAGCTAGCTGGTAATGAAAATACTTTGAATACATGCAAAAACATGAACAAGAACAAAGTAAAACTGAGTTAGTGGTTTGCCGATTCCTCTACCAGAAACTAGTTCAAATGAAAAATAGATGACGAAGCATTGACCTAATGGATTAGCATTGCATAAGCTTGATAACGTAAATAGTGATTTTTTAGCAGAGCTAGTAAACAAACAAAAACATAATTTGTTTTTATTAAAGCTAAATTACTATAGGGATGTATATGGATGGCATGGATGGTTGGCTTAGATGGATAGCTTATATGGATGACTTAGATGGATGATCTAAATGGATGGGATAGTTGGATAGTCTAAATGGATGCTCTATATCGGATCTAATGGATGCGACATGGTGGATGCATAAATGAAATCAAATCTTATTGAACAAACCCTATAAATTAGTGAGAGCAACGGTTCAAAATGGATGCACCATATACATTACCTACATGGATGCACAATATACTTACCTATATGGATACACCGGATGGATGAGTTAGATGTCATGTACATGTGAATGCTAGATTGTGGATGTGAGATGGATGTGAATCTGAGTGAACAATGCATAGATGCACCGGATGGATGAGTTATATGCGATATTCATGTGAATGCTAGGTTGTGGATGAGAGATGTATGTTAATCTGAATATAGTACCCTACGTGGATGCTCCGGATGAGGTAAATCCCATGAGCAACAGTGAGAACCCGCATGGTGGATGATACTGACTACATGCACCATATACATTGTATATATGGATGCATCAAATGGATGAGTGAATATGTACGCAAAATATATATAAATGAAGCCTATATGGATGCACCGGTTGGATGAGTTAATGATGTTGATGCTATAGATGAATGTGAGATTGTGGATGGGATATAATCTGACTAATGAAAATAAGTGATAAAGACAAGTGGATGAGATATGGCGGAAGCATAAATTAAATTGGGACATGGTGGATGAGATGAGATGGATCTGTAATTGAATTAGGGAAAGTGAATTAAATCGAACCCTAGTAGTTAAAAGAGTCGAAGAAATACTAGGATTGTTAGAGGAAGATTGACCTGCTATTCCGATGTAATTGCAGTAAGAAGTGCTTTGTGTTGCTATTTCCGGCCACCGGATATTGCAATCTTGCGGTTTTGTAGGTTCAGATTTAGGGTTTGGACCCGTTAAGCAGAGGCGGCGTTTTAAAAGGTGGTAGGAGAGTGCGACGTAGATAATTTGAAAAGATGAACGAAAAAAACTGGATTGGAAATTAGGTTGATAAGGATTCAACGGCGGTGACGATCAATGTTTCAAATTGCAATTCATAGGAGGAGTTGATTCGGTGATGTAAAACTATAATTAAAGTATTAATTTCAGGATGTTGAATATTAACGAAGAGAAAATAGAAGATAACAATTGTAGGAGTATACGAGTCTTTTTCTATGTCAAAAGTGTGCTTATATAAAGAAGTGTCTAAAATTGTTATTCTACTCTTTAGAAATACCTTGCGTTGTAAATTTCTCAAAAACCAATATTGTTCTCATGAGAACCCTATAATTATTTAAAAAGTATGTAATATCTGCGTTGACTTGGTCAAATCTGCTTACTTCTTAAAACTAGAAAATCATCTCTCTTTCCTATACAATTCCTCTTCGTCGCTTGTGGGTGAAACTTTTACGTCAGGAAGGAGAAACAGAGATCAGGAGATATGTCTCAGGTACTTGAATCAGATTTTTTGCTGCATTTGATTTCGGTAATTTAGGATCCCGATTATCATAGCAAAATTCCGCGACTTTACTGCAATTTTCCTATTTGGGTTTGAGTTAGGGTTTCATTCGATCTTGATTGGATTCTTTGCTTTGTATCTGATTTATAATGTATGTATCAATTAGGTATAATGTATTGTAACAGAGATCTGTAGTTGGTCTTTTGACAAACTTGGTGTGACTATTTTAATTTTTCGCCACTTGATCAAAATGGTGATGGCAAAGGATCAGTATAAGATGCAGATCGTGTGATTCATGTAAATGGGTAGTTGAAAAGGGTGGATCTGTTTTTGTCTGGATCAATCTAAGTCTGAAAGGTCTTTTCGCAGTTCGATTAAGCTAAGCTGTTTAATTAATTTGAACATCGTTCCATTTGATTTAAAGCTGAAAGAAGGGTTTGTTCTCTTTTGTTTAGACGAGCCTGCTGCTTCTCTTATGCTTTGAGCAACTTGATTAGGACATGATGTTCTTAAGCAATTTTGGGACATTGCTCCCATAACTCAGCTTAAAACTTTGGAAACTTTTGTCTCTTTTGCGAGTAGACTGTGGTTCTAAAGGTGGCTATGCCATGCGCGGGATGCGTGGCAGCTGTGGAAAGAGTGTTAGGCAAAATGCAAGGTTAGTTCTGCGATTAGCTTAATAATCTCTCTGCTATATCTCCCTTTCGTTCTGGATCTTCATATATGCTCTTCTCATCTCATCGGCTTTATAAATGTTGCTAAACATAAGCAGTCAATTCCAAGAAAAAGTCTCGTCTCCATTGATCTTAAACGAAAGTCACGAAACACAAACGAATGTTGTTGTCAGGTGTGGAGTCGTTTGATGTGGATCAGAAAGAACAGAAGGTAACGGTGATAGGCAACGTGGAGCCAGAAGCTGTTCTGCAGACAGTCTCAAAGACGGGAAAGAAAACTAGTTTCTGGGGAGCCGAGGCTGAAACCGCAGAAGCGGCCATGGCCTAAAGGGGGAGAAAGCAACAAAGTATCTCATGTCATGACTCTGTTTTAACCCTTTTGTTTTTAAAGAAGAAAAATGATCATCATCTCCTGGGGTTCTTACATCTCTAAGTTGTCTCAAAGCTATCTTCTAAGTTTCCTGCGTTTTATCATCGTAATGAAATTCCACACCTGAGCTTTAAAGCTCAGCTGTTTCTTCTTTTTTGTTTGTCTAAACAAAATTTTGGAAATTAACATTATTCTAGTTTCTCAAAACAAAAACCAGAATTTTACTATTTCTTAACTTCTTTGAAGAGTAAAAAAGGTACATTATATTTGATTCTTCTTTTGTACAAGTATTTGTAAGAACACTGGTACTAGTTAAACAACTAGATTCTCTTCCCAACAACTGTTAATTTAAACACTCAAGATTCAGACACCTTTAAGCTTTAAACCCAAGGGTACTCTTGTCATTTCATGTTCTGACCTTTTGAATTTTTCGGGCCATGCCGTTTTAAAAATTCCATTTATTTTTTTTAATATTCGTGAAACCCAAAAATTCGCCGTCTACGTTTGCAAAGAAAAAAAAAGATAGCCTTTGGACCCATCGAACCAGAATGGATCTGAACCGTCGATAAGGGCATCCAACGGTCACAACCAATCTACTCTTTAAGAGATCTTTTTTTTCTTGGTTCTTGGGTGTTTGTTTTCGATCATAAACCCTAGCCACCTCTGTTCCCTCTCTTCTTGTCAAAACGAGAAATTCGTGAAACCAACTGTACCCGCCGATCTTCCTCTTCTTCACCATGTCTACTCGCTTCTAGAAAGAAAAATAAAACAGACCCATGAACAGATCTCGATTCTCCCAATCAAACCTCTCTATTTTTCTTCGATCTCCAGAGATCTCAGCGATTTTCTTTTCTCCCATTTCCTTCTGCGTATCACTAATTTGATCCCTGATCTATCCGTTGAAATCTGCCTCTCTCCCTTCAATACCTGTTTCGATTTCCTTAATTTTTGCCGGAGAAGTAAAAAATCTGGTTAGAATCGGATTGGGTCTTCGAGAAAGTCGGTGATTTCTTTGGAAATAGACAGAGATTAGTGGGCGCGTAGATAGAAGGAGGCGCTTGACTACGCCAATTTCCGAGTGAAGAAGGAGTAACAAGTCAAGCCAGTTGTGGCGAATCCAGTTGCGGAAACACGGAGTCGTATGAGCAACGTATAGATGCCGTCGGTGGGAATGAGACGAACCACAAGGGTTTTCGGGGTGGTTAAAGCCGCAGACGGAGCCCGGGTCCTCCGCTCGGGTCGCCGGATCTGGCCCAACGTCGACGAACCGAAGGTGAGGCGAGCTCATGACGTTATGGATCGAGATTGGAATTGCCTTTTGAAAAATCCCAGCAACAAGGGCAAAGGGAACAAGGTCTCTGGTAGAAGCAACGGCGCTGGAAGCAAGCCCTGTAGCCCGAGAGAAACCTCCAGTGAGAAACGCCACAAAGAAGAAGACTTTCCGGTCGACAAACGGCGGGATGTGACAACTGAAGCTGTGGGAGATGAAAAGACTGTGGATAAGATGTTTGGGATTGTATATAGTAGGAAAAGGAAGAGACTTTCTGACCAGTCAAGTGATAGATCAGAGGAGCCACCGCGAAGCCTCAAGTTTTATTGCAGGCGAAGGAAACCATCTGACCGGGTTTCTCCACGACGACTCTATGGTCCTGTGATTACTCTTACAGTAGATGCGTCGTGTGAGGACTGCTGGCTTTCAACTGTTTTCGGTTTGGTTAAGAGATACATGAGGAGGGGACATTTGAGGCTGTCTTCACTCGCTTCTTTTTTCTTGTCTCAACCTATCAAAGACGTGTTTGCTGACCATGGCGTGCGATTTCTTGCGGTAATTACCTCTCTACGAACTCTCTTTAGGTTTGTGGTGCTACATTTTGTTCATGTAGGTAGTAGTGCTGATATAAAGTCTGGATCTTTAATTTTCAGGAGCCTCCCCTAAGCTCAAGGGGCGTCTGCAAATTCTTTGGGACCATGAATTGTCTTCCTCTGCTTTCAGCTGATTTTACTGCCCTTCCTCGATGTTTCATGGATATGCATTTTACTCTGTTTCTCAGAGTGGCACCACGCTCCTTTGCTTTCGTGAAAAAATCTCTGTATCTGCTAAACAATCAGGTTGAAGAATCTGATTCAGAGTCTGAATTAGTTTTATCTGAACCGTGTAATCCGAGGAACGGAGGCGTAGTTGGGTTACATCCGTCAGTAAGAGCCTCGAAGCTAACTGGAGGGAATGCTCAAAATAGAGGCAATTTAGGTTTTCATACTATCCAGAAGAGGAGAAGCTCCTTGAGAAGGAGAAGAGCAAGAAACCTTTCGCATAGTGTTCACAAGCTGACCAATGGCACGTCGCTTTCTGAACTATCAGGAAGTTGGAAAAACAGGACAGTAGCAGTGTCGTCAAGAAAGCTCAGAAGCTCAGTGCTGAATAACTCATCTCCGGTTTCAAATGGGATTAGTATCATTCCGAAGCCCAAGACAAAAGAGGAACTTGATTCTCTATCTTGTTCTGCGAACATATTGGTGATAGGTTCAGACAGATGCGCCAGAGAAGAAGGGTTTAGTGCCATGTTGGAGTTTTCGTCTTCAAATGAGTGGTTCGTTGTTATTAAGAAAGATGGTGTAGTCAGATACAGCCACAAGGCACGAAAGAATATGAGACCTTGTTCGTGCAACCGGTTTACACATTCTATAGTATGGCTGGGGGATAACGATTGGAAGCTCGAGTTTTGCGACAGACAAGATTGGCTCGGTTTTAAGGAGATGTATAACGAATGCTATGAACGGAATATACTGGAACAGAACGCGAAAGTCATTCCTATACCTGGGGTAAGAGAAGTGTGTGGGTATGCAGAGGATATTGCTGTGATTCCCTCATTTTCTATGCCAGTTGCATATATTTCTGTGAAAGAAGATGAGATTTCGAGGGCCATGGCTCGAAGTCTTGCGATTTATGACATGGATTCTGAAGACGAAGAGTGGCTGGCAAGGCAGAACGAGGAAGATGAGCAATCTCAACGACTTGAGCAGGACACTTTTGAATTGATGATTGATGGGTTTGAAAAGTGCTATTTCCAGAGCCCTGCCGATGATCTCTTGGATGAGAAAGCAGCCACTGTAGCTAGTCTTTCGTATCTGGGTAGGCAAGAGGTGGTTGAAGCGGTACATGATTACTGGGCGAGAAAAAGGAAGCAGCGGAAAGCACCACTCCTCAGAGTTTTCCAGGTAAAGTCTTATATTACTGTGTAGTACTTGGACCAAATTTTCTTGATTCCCATCTGTGTTTATACTAACAACATTGATGTTTGTTATATAAACAGGGTCATCAAGCGAAGAAAACACCTCTACTTTTCAAGCCTGTGTTTCGTAAGAGAAGATCCTTCAAAAGGCAGGGTAGTCAACTGCAGGGAAAATCCAAACAGCCAAGTCACGGTACGTTCCCTCAACTCTATATAAACTCAAGAGAATTTGCGCAATTCTATGTTGTGTGATGAATTTTGGTGGCTAGTGTTGTGATATATTGGTTTCGCCAAGTACTAGGAAAGGAAGTAGTGTCTGCGCTTTAGAGTTAGATTTACGCTGAACAGTCTTGCCGAAGTACAATTGATTAGACTGAATATCCTACCGCTTTGTTGTACATGATTTGAGGATAGAGAACGTTGTGCGCTTTAATCGAGAAAGAGTTGAATTTCGATGGTTAAGCTCGATAAAAGTTGGATTTAGCTCCACAAAGTTGAGTTTGATTTGTACACTGTGAGAGTAAAATATCTGATTTTTTGCTGTTCGGTTTGACGTGTGGCAGGGGCAGTTAAGGCAGCTGAACAAGAGGCTTCAGAGGAGCAAAACGTTTTTCTTAGAGTGGAAGAAGCCAAGGCCTCGGCTGATGCAGCCATGGAGATTGCCATCGCCAAAAGAAAAAGAGCCCAAGTTCTTGCAGAGAATGCAGACTTGGCTGTTTACAAAGCCATTGTGGCTCTCAGGATCGCAGAAGCCATGAAAGTAGCTGAATCTAGCGATGCAGCCACATCCCTTTTCTTGAACTAATAATATGGTGAAGATAGAAAATTCGCAAGCTTGCTTGGCAAATGTTACTCGAGTTTTATCGAAAGTTGGGTTCTTTTGGGGAATTTTTCAGAGAGGATGATTTGAGATATAGTCTCTGTAGCTTATGGTTATGTGTATAGTTTCTCTACGCTGAGATTGTAAATGGGTTTAGAAGTTTAGGTTTCTCTTTCTTTCTTTTTTTAGGGTTTTTGTTTTTTTGTTCGTCCTCACTCGATGTACTACCGTAACATGCTCCTTCCTCTCTTTTTTTCGTTTTTCTTCGGACAATTATAATTTGAAGAAATGGGAAAAAAAAAATTACAGGAGAGATTTGGCAATGAATCGGTGGTAGTCTAGACTCTGCAAGGACTAATCTAATCTGAGTTAAGTAGATGAAAATTAAGCTCACTCATCAACAATCTGCCTTCATTATTATAACCTAAGTATGATCAATGACGTCTTTATCTAAATGTTTTCCAAGTTGAGATGGAGGTTCTTTTGCCCTCTTGGGTTTAAGCTTGAGGCAATTCGTTTGCAAAAAAAAAAAAAAAAAACTTGGAAGATGATGATTAGTTGCAACTTGTGCTCCCAAAATTTATTCCCACTGAGGAAGCTGATGGTTCTTTTTGTCCTCTTGGGTTTAAGCTTTGGGTTTAAGCTTGAGGCAATTTGTTTGCAATTCACAAGCTAGAATGCTAACGTGCACACGATACGCCTACTGTACTTTAACCTTCGGTGATCGCTTTCCCCATTTTTCTGATGTTTCTGCTTCCCAAATTGTTTTAACGACAGTGTTAGAACTATGTAGGCTTAGTATAGGCCCAATAATATATTCGAGGCCCAATAATATATTTTGAGGCCCAATAGTATATTTCTCTCATGAATATATTTGTCAATGTGTCATGCAACGAATATTAGTTTAATCTAACTAATTAACCAGTTTATGTTCTTTTTAATTAAACTCGAAAAAAAGTAAATATGTACCCTGGAACTTCTTTTAGTCCAACAAAGATACTAGTTGAAAATTAGCATAACGGTCCCCATATATATATAATAAACACAACTTACTCTAGTGTTTATATTTAATTTATAAAGGAAAAGTAGATAAAAGACGTGTAAATACAGATTAAATCCTGGGTTTGACCATGGCTCTCAGTGGGTTTTTCATCACCACCGTGAACTCCAACTTTCCGGCGAAATCAATCTCGCTTCCCGGCGGATACGCGCTCCACTCGAACTCCTGAACCATCCTCGCAAGCATGAGGTGCACGTGTACGGTCGCCATTCCAAGCCCTGGACAGATCCGACGGCCAACACCGAACGGAATCATCTTAACTCCACTAATCCCGGTTATATCAGCATCTTCTTTACCCGACATAAACCGGTCTGGGTCAAACATTTTCGGGTTAGTCCAGATTCTCGGATCCTCGCTGATACCCGGAAGATAAACCTCGACGTTTACGCCGGCGGGAATGTCATATCCGGCAAGCGTCGTTGTCTCCATAACGGCGTGCGTCAGAGAAAGATAAGTCGGCGGATGTTTCCGGAGAAGCTCCTTAACGAAAGCTTGTAAAAAGAGCATTTTGTCCACATCTTTCTCCTCGATCCTACGATCTCCAGCCGTTGATCTAATCTCATCGTACAGCCGAGACTGAATCTCGGGATTTGCAATCAGCTGCGCGATCCCCCACTCGATCGCCGTCCCCGTCGTGTCCGTACCGCCGTTGAGAAACTCGGAGCAGAGAGTCACGAGCTCTTCGTTAGACGGAGCCGCTTCGCGACCTTCTACTTTTAGGTCAAAGAGTGTATCGAGGTAAGAGAAAGACGACGCCGTTTTGTCGGATCCTGGATTTTGAATCGCTCTCCGTCGCCTCTCGATGAATCCGACGACGAAATCCACCTGGTGACGGCGTACTTGGAGAGCGCGTTTCCTCTCTTTAGAGAAGAAGGGAGCGAGAATCGGAAGATAATCGTCGATTCGTGGATCGACGGTCATCAACACCGTTTTCAGAGTCTCATCCATTTTCTTAATTGATTCTTCGTCCATCTCGATTCCGAAACACATGTTCAGTAAAATGCAGAAGGCAGCGAATCTGGCGTTGTTGAGCACCCATATTAGGCCGTCGTGTTCGCGAGCCTCCGATTTGATCCTCTCGGTGAGCTTATCCATGGCGGATTGTCTCACCGACCCGAATTCCTTGAGCCGGGTCGAGCTCAGCATGTTCTGCACCATGTTTCTCCTCAGAGATCGCCACACAGGACCGTATTTCGCGGCATTGACGGTGAATTTGTTGCAGCTGAAGATCGATCGAGTCGGATTCTCGGCGGGCCGAGAGGCGAACAGAGCCCCGCGTTGGATCAAAGCTTCGTGGACGAGGCTCGCGTCGGAGAGGATGATCATTGTCCGAGTCCCCATCCTCAGAGTGAAAATCGGGCCGTACCTATTCTTCAGCTCCTCCACATATTCGAAAAACGGCTTCCCGGAGCGCGCGAACTGGAATAGGTTTCCGACCACCGGCCAACCCGTCGGACCTGGAGGAAGGTTTAAACGTTTCTTCGCCTTCAAATTCCATCGAGCAAGGATGAAAACGAAACTGGAGACGATAATCGCAAGTAAGCTCAGATCAAGAGAAAAGGAAACGAGAGACATCTTAGCTCCTTAAATCACTAAAGCTTTTCTGATTGAATTCAGTGGAGAAGAAGAGCGGAAGATTATATATACAAACAGACAAGTGCATGCAAAATTTAAGGGTACAAAATTGAAATAATATCAACTTTATTGGGGTTTGTAAGTCAAATAGTCAACATACTGATACTGTGGACTCAGTAGTCAACATACTGTGGACTGACATGCTTACTAAAACAATGCATGTTGATTGGGTTTAGCCTTCAAATTTGGCATTGATTGGCTTAAACTCAAATGATTTTCGAAAGTATAAAGTTATCTTTTCAATGACATCTTAATTAAAAAAATCAAAACAACTTGTAATTTTTTTTGGTTATTATTTCGTAATTAACTCTCAAAGACTCTATGACTATATATGTACTTGAAACTACTGTCGTGTGTATTAGTCAACATGATTGTTTAGAAGCTCTAGTTGACCGTATAGACACTTTATTCTTTAAACAACTTTTAATTTTCAGAATTGGTTATATGACCGATACGTTGCAACAACTTCATGTACCCGTACGGTTAGGACTTAGGAGAAGTAATTACATGAAAGCTTGAACAGGATGATATGTCCCAAATATTTAATGCTGGTAAGTACTCAAAATTATAATGAAAATAGAATAATTGAACTGTAATGTCCTTGTTACTTGACCAGCAGATGAACTTATATGTACCATTGAAAATTAGGAGCTGTAATTTGTGAGTGCATGTCCTTTATTTATTGCGCTCAACCGCTCATTTAATTATCAGAAAGCCAATTACTCTATTTCCAATTTTGCTAGACCCGAAACAATAGTAATATAAATAGTTTCGTCTGTTAGCTAGGCAGAATTCAACATCATCATACTGTACTTTCAAAAAAAAAAAAAAAAAATCGAATAAACGTGTTTGACTTCTTTTAAATTCAATTCACTTGTCAGAAACTTCGACTGTGTGGATGGACACGCAAATATTCGGTTAATCGAGAAAAAGTGTGTATTTTTTTTAACAATACGATATTTTAAAGCCAGCATTTTCACCGGTAAGATTATTTAGTGTATGATATAACTGAATAGAATTGAGATATGCTACTACTAAGGTGGTTATATTTCTTCGGTTTCTCTTACGAAGATTTTGGGTTAGATAATTTACGAAAAGAAGACAGATAAGATAAGCCAAAAGTTGATAAAACATACTCAAAACTAAAAAGATGGTTCCTTTTTCTTCATCCAATCATTAATTAAGGTAAACCAAAACTAAACCGGTTTGAGTTTGATCAAACATCCCTGAAACCTAACCAAGCATGGAACGTTGATCGGAGTCAAACCGGACCCTAGGCTAAAAAATATCCCTAACCAGAACCACCGAACCAATCCCTCCGTTGTCTTGTTGTTATGCTAATCTTGGGAAGGCTTTCAGAGTGCAGCAATGGAGGCTAAATCATCGAAATAATCAGAAAGATGGAGATTATTATCCTCATGCAAACCTCTGTGAACCCGCTCTGATCCATCGTCAACAGCTCCAGAGTCATAGCACATATTTTGATTCGTATTCATCATCATCGAGACATCATCCCTCTCAAAATTCATGGATAGGAGGCCTTCAGAATCAGAACTTGTCAGAAATCCAATCATGTGATCAACATCCAGCTCTTGATTGCACCCACGCAGGTCTCTAGTCAAAGCGTTGCTGTCGTTGTTGCTATTGTCAGAAAACGCTACGACCTGATTCTCATCAGAACCAGAGAATTGGTCGCCCGAATCACTGTGAATCACCATAGCTCCATCTTCAGCAGCTTCAGAACCAGAGCACGAAGTTCGATTCGTGGAGATCTCACCAGTCTTCAAATCCATCGTTATACCTTGAGGATTCGTCTCAAAATCCACGATTAGGTCCAGATCCAGCTCTTGATTGCTCCCATCCAACTTGTCCATGTCAGGAATCGCTACGATCTGATCCTCCGCTCCACTGTTGCTGACGAAACCCTCGAAATTCGCAGGTGGATCGTCACGGATGCAGATACTTGCACAAGACGGTTGAAGATTTAGGGTTTGTTCTCTGTCAAGCTCTTGGTGAGTTTCGTGTATAACAACATCCTTCTTCTTCTTCTTCATGTCCTCACGATTTTCCATGGCGTCTGCTTTCAGATTTCGCAACATACTCGAAATAGAGTCGATCGCGTCACTCAGCTCCTCTGTATTCTCCGATTTGGCAAGACTCTCGTCTTCCCACCAAAACCTTTGACCTAGATCCTCCTGAGGACGCTGATTCGCGAGGAAAGCGGAGACGACGCCATCGACCGAGGAGTGACCAAAGCTGTAGAAGGACTTGTTTGATTTGGAAGAAACCGGAGTCGCTAAGATAGCAACTTGTGCCCCAGAGAGAAGACAAAGCTGCGAGGCTTTGCTGAAAAGACCGTTACGTCTTTTGCTGAAAGTAACCGATCGCGAATCTTTCTTTGTTATCTTCTCCATCGTTATCTTCGTCTTCTTGCCTCCCATGAAGAAAATAAAGGAAAGAACTGTATTTGTGTCCACTGTTTTACCTCTCTATGTAATATATATATATATATATATATAGGCTTTAATGAAGTCTCGTTTCTTTCCTTTTTCTAACATTCCGTTAATAGGTAATTAGTCGCCTAAGTACAAATGTTTTCCTTTTTTTGAAGCTAATTACTCAAATCCACCTGTACCGGAATGATCAGCGATTAAGCTAGTATAAGAACATAAAGCCACAAGACCAGCTCACTATAGCTTAATTAAATAATATGTATTCATACCAAATTGATTTTATTAATTTCTTCGGTTTTACATTCGTATAATAAAAAAAGGGAATTTGTTTTAACAAGAAAAAGGAAACTTTGGGCAGACTTGGTTTGCAAGTAATCGAATTAAGAGACCACATCAAAATTATTACATAATTATAACCATTCAAGGAGTTTTTTTTTTATCTCCTTCTTCAGTTTCGCCAGACTAGAGACTCAAGCAAAACATTTGTTATGGTTATTAGTATGCGTTTGGGTGTGACAGTTTTACCAGTTGGGCTTTTAATTTATTGGCCCAAGGACATAATGATTGATTGTTTTTCATTGGAGACCATGTTTTTACTTTTTTCACATGTAACTAGATGTTAAAATTCATTGCACATTTGGGAAGAGAGGGATTACCACAATAATCACATGAAAATCTCTAGTTCAAGGGATCACTAACTGAGAAAAAAAGAAGGTTTTAAAGTTTGGGAGAGAGAAAGGAAGGAATGTGAGTGGTGTTGTCAAAGTCCAAACAAGAAGAAAGCGCAGTGATGAGTTTCTTCACATCTTCAGTGGTGTGTGCTGCACTCAGTGTCACCCTTAGCCTGAAGAAGAACTCCACACCAGCATATGATGAGTTTCACCGAGATATTCATATCATAGAATGGTTTTAAAGCATGAAGTTTGTTGTTTACCTGCAAGAATTGGGTGGCACTGTGGGTGGTCTTATTGCCATTACATGGAAACCTGATTTTAGTAGATACCTGCAACAATGAGAAAAATCAATCAGCTATATAAGTGTGTGTGAGGAAGCAAAAGAGAAAGAGAAAGAGAAAGAGAGGGAGATGTGTGTGTACCGGCTCCCTTGGAGGGCTTTCTCTTGATTGCCTACAATAAGTGAGATAATGGGACTTGAGATTTGAACTCCAGACAATGCCTTAAACTCTTTCACCCTCTCCCATATTGCCTTTCTTCTCCATCTCTCCTTCCTCGCCACTACAACTGCTGCATACGCAGCTGCAGCCATTGGGACAGGTATTGCTGTTGAAAAAATGAATGAGCGACCTCTTGATTGGATCAGTTGCTTCCATTTTTTGCTGTTTCCCACAACAAAGTTAAATTGTTACCAGTGAACCGAGACAATTCAGATTGATTATTGATTTGCTTTGGCATGAGCGTTCATCAACCTTAGAGATCACAACCACCAGTAAAAAAAAACAAATTTAGAGGTGTATGCACCTGCAAGCTATGAAACCGCCATGACACCCTGCTGCCTTACTCAAAGTGCCCACACATAAATCTACATCGGCTTCACAGTTATATTCCTCGGCCACGCCACCACCATTTTCTCCACAAACAAATGTTCCATGAGCCTGACCCATCAATATCATACTTCTCAAGCAGCAGTTGGCACTTGACACCATACCAAAAATTTTAATTGAAAAATTCGACCAACTTACATCATCAATAACCAGTAGGAAGCCATGCTTCTTCCGAAGCTGAGCGAGTTCTTCCATCGGTGCAAAGTCACCGTCCATGCTAAATAAGCTGTCAAAACCAAAAATGAGATCCAACAATTAGAACTCCCGCTCATATGTCCCCAGTCTCAAACCACCAAAGGCGTTGATAAGCATATTGAAATAAAGTTTAGCCTTTGTAGATAGCACTATGGATAGCGACATGAGAATACAAATCTAAAGGAACAAAACTATCATCACCAAAAGCAGGTTGGGGCATTTAGGTACAACAACTTTTAAGCAGTAAGTAAGTAGCGAGTGAGACTGACCTATCAGTAACCACGACCTTCCTCTTCATTTTGCAACTTGACCTGTCCAAACAATTACATACGGCATAAGCGGAAAACAAGATATGAAGGGATAAGTTCGGAAAGTGAAGGACTCACAGCAATGAACTAAGGTGACGCATGTCACAGTGTCGATAAACAAAAACTTCAACATTTCCTTGTCGTTCAGCAAGACGGATACCATCAATAATGGATGCATGATTCAGAGCATCAGAAAATATGGCCACTTTCTCACTCTTGAGAGGCTTCCCACTAGCAGCCAAAAGAGAAGCAACACTTCCAATTGCAACCATTGCAGCCATATTGGCAGCAAACCCAGTAGGACAAACGAGACAATCCTAGAAAGATTAAAGATCTGCTTTCAGTTTGAGATATTTCAATATCATGGGACTCATTTCCAATCATTCAAGCAAGTTTTTTTTACCTCTTTCTTCTTCAGTTCCGCCAAACTAGACTCCAGCAAACGATGATAAGTGGTATACCCGCATATTAACGCAGAACCCTTAGGTCCCATACCATATTCTTGGGCTGCCTGCCTTGAAGAAAAAACGTAAGGCAGTGGAAGAAATGTATACTTTAGTTTAGTGACATGAAACAAAGTTTTGGAAAACGTACGTTTGCAGCAGCGTTTGATATTGTAGGATGAGAGCTCAAACCCAGATAATCATTCCCAGAGAACAAAAGCAGCTTCTTGAACCTCTCTTCTCTACTCTCACCTAATGCATCTCCACTAAAAATCTCTTCTCCTGTCAAAATACACAACCACACCTTTGCCTAATCAACTCAGCTTCTTCATTACCCAAAATTTTGCATAAAAATCAAAATTCGCTGTCTAAAATGATTTATGACGCTTTAAGTTCAAAAGAAAGGAAAAAAAAACCAACTTTGGAAACTCCGAAACTCTCGGCAAGAAAAAAAAAAGACGTACCGTTGCTGGGTTCATCGTGAAGCCATTTCTGAAATGTGGGTATCGAGACAGAAACCTCGACAGAAGTCCGATCCCATTGACACAAACCGTCGAACACCTCGTACTCGTCTCCTTCATTACCTCTGCTTTTCACAATTTCTTCATCGTTTTGCTTAGACATAGAAATGGGTCTCAAAGATCGAAGGAGTTGCCTGGATTCAAGCACATTCACTGCTTCTTCTACACATTTGTCCCACGAATTATCCGCCATTTGCGCTTTTGTGAGGATTACAAAGAGTGATTCGGTGGCCGGTGAAATAAGAAGACTTCAAAAGCTTCTGCTACTGCAATGACGCTAACAAACTCTTGCTTTTACATGTTCGTGGAGAAACCTGTTTCTTGCCGTTTTGTTTTGGATCTAAGAATGCTTGTTGTTTTGCACAAAGAGGAGTATTGTGTTAACGTTGTACCTACCCATCTGCTGTAATCCACAGGGAAAGGGATGAGATAATCACTTTTAACAGTTTAACCCAAAAAGAATACGAGAGAAACTGAGAGGTCTAGGGCTTGATGAAGAAGCCCAGGACAAAGCAGAAGAAGATGATTAATGAAAAATCAGATTTAATTAATTACGCGCAATTCACATGATGGTTTTGTTTTGGTTTGGTTTAAGTCCGGTTTACTAGAAGCTGCAAAAAGAGCTTCGAAAGATGGAGATGGTGAGATCAAAATCAGAAATGGGGCTCGATGTGAGAATCTTCGAAAGCATCTCTCCTTCTCGTTTCATCTCCTTCACCATTCCTAATCCTGTTTCTCCGTTACATCTTCTCCGGATTGCCGTCCTCGACTTGCCTGTTCATTCCATCGAGTCGTCGCCCCGAGTCGCCGTCACGCTCGTCCCCAAGCACCGAGAAACCGATTGGATCTTCTCCACTGAGTCCGGCCATCTCCAGCTCCTCCTTAACCTCCCCGACATCTCTCGGCTGATACTGATCGGAGACGATCCCGAAGGTGGCTCTGATGTCCCCGCGGTTGACAATTGCTCGGAGGGACTCGAGCTGAGACTAAAACCTCTTGTTGTAGCTCTGTCACCCAAAACCCTAACCGGAGAAGAAATCGACGATGTGCCTTTTCTGATTTACGAGGACAATGTTGTCTCCAGTGTAGAGCTGGAGAAATCAGTGGGGCCTTTCGTTGGTGAAATGCTAATTGAGGATGTAGAGATTGAGATCGATGGAGCTACAAGAGAATTCAGGAGGAGGCTGAGGTTCAAGAGAATGCCAAATCTAGTCCAATCCGATATCAAAATCATCCCCACAAGTTCCTCTTCAGGTTCGAAATCTTCTTCTGCGCTAACAAGAACAGAGCTCTTCAAGCCTCATCTCACGGAACTTGTGCATCCTTACTTGGCACCAATGGTGGCAAGTCTTTCCTTGATTGGCTCTTCTCCCATGAGATCTAGACGGAAGGCATTGTGCATTGGAGTCGGAGGTGGTGGACTGCTTAGTTTCTTGAGGTTACAATTAGGGTTCGAGGTCACAGGGGTAGAGATAGACCCTGAAGTCTTGAGGGTCGCAAGGCAATACTTTGGGTTAGAGGAAAGCTACGCTCGTGTTCACGTTGAAGACGGTATTGAGTTCTTGAAGAAATTTTCTTCGACCTGTGATGATGAAAGTACCAAATTTGATGTCTTGATGGTTGATCTCGACTCCACCAATCCAATCCACGGCGTGAGTGCTCCTCCGATCGAGTTTGTGGCCAGAGACGTTTTGCTGGCTGCAAGAAGTGCTCTTCTTCCTTGTGGTGGAATTTTCGTGATCAATGTCATTCCTCCAAACAGGACATTCTACAAACAACTCAAGGACGAGCTAAAAAGGATCTTTGTCGAGTTGTATGAGATCGACGTAGGAAATGGGGAAAACTTTGTTCTTATTGCAACCAATTCTTCAAGAGATCACAACAAAAACGGGGGGAATCTACAAACACCTGCTGTCTTGATGAAGTACATTGATGCTATAGAGAGAATTTGAGATTCGTTCAAAAAAAAAAAGAAACATTGTCATTGCAATAGCTCATCAGATACTTTAAAAAAGTTGAGTTTTGGATCCAATGTCAAAAGTACAACAGAACCTTATCCTATAAAAAAACAAAGCTTATAGAAAATTTGTTGATCAGCTTCGATTTAGTCTTCACTAAACTTGATCTTCTTGGGGAGTGGCTGCGTATTACCAACCTGAAGTAGCAGAACATGCGGTAATTAGTTATTACTAGTTCAGTCATATAGTTATGTAATGAAGAATTGGTGAAAGTCAGAAAACTTACAAGCTCGGGGCAGTTATATTCTATTCCAGCGTCTTCAATTTTCTTTCTCCTCTTCTGGTCTCTTTTCACTACCTTGCGCAGCATTTTCCTATGCTCTTCCAATGTCCTTTCCTGTAATACATAGAGAAGAGAAATCAAAGTTCAAAGTCACAACTTGCTCAAGAGAAATGGCAAACTGAGAAGAAGAAGAAGAAGAAAAGCAAAGAAGATTGTTTACCCTGTTATGTTGTTTACGCTCGATCTGAACCCAATCCACTGGTTTGTACTGTAACTTAAACCCTTTCCACCTATTAAGAGCATTTGATTGCGTCAAAAACAATAAACTGATAAAAGAACCATCTAACCGAGAAAAGTCTCTTTCAGTAAAACTCTCCTAACACCTAAATGTCACAAAGCCTCACTCTGTAAACCATAGAAACTGTCCTTCAAAGCTTAAATCAACCCACAAGAGCTAGAACTATTTGCAAAGACAAATCATCAATCACTAAGAAATAAAGCCGACTCACAGATTCGGTTTAACATCCTCTGGTGGAATGACACGGACTTGGAGCATGTGTTCGAGCAACAAATAGTCGTTCATTGCACCCGCTGCGATTTCCGCCACCTGCAGAGAATCAAATCAATTAGTCAAGAACTGAATCTGGAACATATGTAGCAAAATGGTGAACTACAGGCTCAAGCATACCTCAGGGTCCTCAAACTGTATGAACCCAAAATGCTTTGATTTCCCAGTCTGTTAACAACGAAAAGATTAATGAGAAAAGAAACAGAAGCAGCACAGAACCTCAAGAGACTAGAGCAAACAAGTAAAGCGCCAAATGTAAAACCTTTTTGTTTCGGGCGACTCTAACTCTCTTAACTGTTCCAAACTGCTTGAAGAAAGCTACGAACCAAAAAAGATACAACAGTTGCTTCAGATTACAAGTATGTGGCAACAAAATTGATCAAACACAGTAATGAAAGGGAAGTTAAGTAAACAAAAAAATACCTTCAATCTCAGTCTCATAGAACCCATGAGGGAGTCGACCGATGTATAGTACCGTGGCTTTACTCTCAAGAGGCTTGGTCACTGGAGCTTTGCGAGCTGGACCACCTTCTAGTGGCTATCAACCAACAAAACATAAAGACAAACAGAGCAATTCAGGCAAAACCCCAAAAAGAATATGAAACGAATTCGAAACGGTGAAAGGTAATGAAAAAATTACCAAAAAATCAGCCGACGGTTTCGGGTTCTGGGGAACAGCTAGCTGAGAAGAAGAAGAAGCAGCAGCCGAAGCAGAAATCTTCTTCATGTTCTTCTTTAGAGCTTTCTTCGCCTTGGCACCCATTGTTGGCGGCGGAAGAGGGAGAGAGTCCGGTATACAATTAGGGTTTAGCAGAGAACCAATAAAATCTGTGGGACGACTTCCTCAACTCCACTCTTCGTTTTTTATTCACGTTCGTTAAAAGTAATTTAGTTTCGATAAACGTTTTTTTCAGCGTTTCGACCAGCGTTTAGCTTAACGATATAGTTAAATGGGCTACAAAATTGACCCAATATAAAAAGTCTGCAGCTTGGCCCAATAATGTTATTGTCAAGACTTCAACCAAAAATTTCCCTGCTTCTCACTTAGTTTGATACATCCTTAGTATATCTCTTAATGTGTAAGTTGTAACTTGAAGTTGTGCCGTTGAGTGACATCCTTCGTAAACACAATTTTTGAATCCCATATAAAAGAAAAGACTGTATTTTCTCTTTAAAGTCACTCATATTTCGAATTACCTCAGCATCATTAAATGAGTCAACTGGTATAAGCAATTTTCTAAAATTTATTCCCAGAAATGCTCTCTTGGCACGAAAACTTTTACAGCATGAAAATATTTTCTCGGGAATCTTTAAGGGTTTTTTGGTTCAAAAAGGAGATTGGCGTATGCCCTAAGGTACTTATTATATCGTTACTCAAATACAACACAAAGCAAGAGGGAAAAAACGGCTACAAAATGAGAACAAAGTTCTCGCTGCAACATGAATTATAGACGAAAGCTGATCCCTCGTTACTGAGGACCTCCTTTATATGTATCTATGAGCTCCCTCAGTTTCTCGAATCCCTGCAGTTTTATCATAGTTGAGAAAAAACAAAGTGATTTGTTCCTTTTTCTTCAATACAATTTTTTTGTAAGGCACTGTGTGGGACACTGATTTAAAAGAAGTTAGATGTGATCCTTACCATGCGGGTTGTGAATTCTCCGAAAGATTCTTTGGTTTGTCTCTCGAGTTTCCAGTGATAAAACAATGGCTCCAAGACTTTCTCTAAGTCATGAACCTTGACCTTATCCATGAAACTCCTCGCTATCTGCGTCTGGTTCGGTGTTCCTCCTAGCCAAACCTGCGGATCCCACAACAACAGAGAACATGAGCCTGCTTGCTTGCTACACTCTCTCACTTGTAACATGGAGCTTCTGCTCGAACTATACCTGATAGCTGTTGGGACCATCACCGACTAGACCAAGCTCAGCCATGTATGGTCTTGCACAGCCGTTAGGACAACCGGTTACTCTTATCACAACAGACTCATCGTACTCCAGACCAACCTGCTCCAAGAAAGGTGTTTTGCACATCAAGATCAATTGCTTGTAATGGCAAAAAGTTAGATAAATGCAAGTTATCTTTCACATTAGCGATTTCACCTTCTCAAACATTGCTCTCACTCGCTTTAGAATGCTGGGGATCCCGCGCTCTGCCTCGGTTATTGCCAGAGGGCACAAAGGAAAAGCTGGACAAGCCATTGCGGTTTGGTTTAATGGGTCGACAAACTCAGGTTGCTACACAAAGCAAACAGGATCTCCTCAGTTTATGTCACAATAGCTTTTAAATTGGCATAACTAAATAAAGCTGCTTACCAGCAAGCCGGCCTGAGCAAGCACTGTGGTGATGGGACGCTTCCATTCGGTCTTTATGTCACACAGTACAATGTTTTGGTTTGGTGTGATGCGGACATCAATTTTGTATTTCTCTATTACGTCTCTCAGCGTCTTCTTCATTATACCTCCAACACGGCCACTGTCTACGTGAAGCCCACAAAACCACGCACCATCTCCCTGTCAAGTGTCAAGTTCACAATGACAATAATATAATTAATAATTAAGCCATGGGACAAGTTCTTAAAGTGAAGGAAATTTTCACAAGGTTTTTAGCAACCAAACCTGTTCATGCCATCCCAAGTAACTCTTGAACTCCCACTCTGGAAGATCACGGGAAGGCTCGAATTTTTTACCATAATATTGCTCCACAACACCTTTAAATTTCTCAATTCCCCAGGAGCTGATCAGATACTTCATTCTGCTATACTTACGATCATCTCTTCTCCCGTGTTCTCGCTGTGTGACTACAATGGCTTTCACAGCATACAAAATACCCTCCTTTGGAACGTAACCTAACGGTTCTGCCAGGCGAGCAAAAGTAGACTCCATTCTGTGTGTTCTTCCCATACCCCCACCAACCTACAACATGAGTCATTATCATCAACAGTTTCAAATCAAGAAATAATCCAGAAGAGGAAAAAAAGAAACAAGCATGATACTAGACAGAAATAACAGCACATGTAGGCTTACATAGAGATTGAAACCCTGTGGTTCGCCATTTTCATCTGACACGACGACAACGCCGATGTCATTGGTGAGGAGGTCGACGGAGTTATCAGTAGGCACAGTTACAGCGACCTTGAACTTCCTAGGCAAGAACTGGGTGCCATAGATGGGCTCAGGGGAGTCGACAAAGTTGGTTCCATGGGAGTTATCATTTCGAGCCTTGACAACCTCAGGAGGCTCAGCAGTCATAAACTGCTCTCCATCAACCCACATATCATAGTAGAACCCTGACTGGGGAGAAAGCAGAGCCGCAATGTTGTCGGCGGTTTCCTGTGCAAAGAGATAGTCTTTCTTCACAAACGGCGCCGCAGGAGCAAGAACATTTCTGTTCAGATCACCACAGGCACCAAGGGTGCTACCCATGTTCTTAATAATGGAGCTCATCACGGTCTTGAGATTCTGCTTCAGAACACCATGGAGCTGAAACGTCTGCCTAGTGGTCAGACGAAGCGTGCCGATGCCAAACTCATCGGCTAAGTCATCCATCGTCAGATAGAGCTGGTTAGGGACCTTGCCAGAAGGATTCTTAGTACGAAGCATGAAGGAGTAAGATCTCCCACCACGTTCCTCTCTGTTGTACTGCTGGTAGCTCCCGTGGAATTTGATGAGCTGCACGGCCGACTCGTTGACGTTTGGAGCCTCCGTTAGAAGCTCCTCGTTGAGAGGGTACCTTATGAAATTGCTCTTCTCCTTGATTATTTCGACTTTACTCCGCTTGGTCGCAGTCTCAGGCTGAATAACATACAAAACTGAAACATGAGAAGCGCAGAATTGAAACCCCATCTCATAATACCCAAAATGGAATCACCAGTCGTTCGAGGAAAACGTCGATTAAGAAGCTATAAATTACCAAAGATGCCATGATTTTCAAGACATAACTCATACAACCAGAAATCATTTTCGCCACGATTAGAACGGAGCCATTAAGAACCTCGCGAAGGCGATCTCAGAAGCACCTCGTGATATTTGACGAGCAGTAGCACAAGCAGGAAATTTCATAAGATGGTTAAAAATTAAGAGAACACATCGAATCTCACCGTGGAGACGGCTTGGATAGGCGAAGAAGAGGATGGACGAACTGAAACGATGCCACGTGCATTTCTCCCTAAGAAAGCCGAATGAGAAGATCTCAACGCCTCGAGCCTCCCTAGTCTAGTCTTCTGATCCGCCGAGAACAAAGCGGCGGCGCCCGCCGGAGCTCGAAACGACGAGGACGACATCACTTCACAGATTGTGAGAGAGATAGCCCGAGAGAGAGAGAAAGAGACTGAAGGCTTTTGGTTGATAAACCGAAATAAGGCGTGTGTTAACAAAACTAGAGCGACAAAAGACAATGGTCAACGCTAACGTGCGCGGTCACGTGACCTGAGGCGGCTATAACCATGAAGAGCGCGTGAAACACACCGCTTTACTTTTCAACTAGCATATCACACCGTCGATTAAGAATCTGGCGGTTGATTAAGTGCGCGTATCGATTGTGTTGACGAAGAGAAGCGCGTGAATAAGAATATCATATCAGAGTATGAGGAATGAAAATTGAACTTTTCCTCTGATGAAAATACTTAACCAGGATCAGATGCTACGAATGAAATATTCTGCAACTTGGTGCACCAAAGTATCGTAGGAGTGTCTACGTAGCAGATAATCATTGGCAAAGAACAGTGACAATCTCACCTACTTGGCTGCTTTGTGAGGCTAAAAGGGTTAGGACCTCTTTTCTTTGTATACTCATTTGAAATTTCCATACTGCAAATGATCTATTTAAATATTCTATTCAAATGCTCTATTTAAATATTATTTGTTATACTTATTTATTCATTTTAATTATTTATCTAAATATAATTTTATTTGTTTGTTTAGTTGGTTATATATTTATATTTTCATCTAAATCATTTTAATAAAAATATTTAAAATACTCATATTTTAGTTATAATAATTTGGTTTTAGCATAAAAAACAATTTTTACAATTTTTGAAATAAAATGTGATAATTTTAAGAGAAAAATATGATTTTATAACTTTGACAGAAAAAGAATTTTTTTTGGTTTTAAAGAAAAGTAAAATATTTTGATTTTGATAAGAAAATGCGATTTTTCAACTTTGACAAAAAATGAAATTTTTCGATTGTGATAAAAAAAAAACAAAATTTTTCAGTTATGATGGAAAAATAAATTTGTTGATAGACGAAAAAAACAGTTTTTAACAGAAAACAAAGTTTTTTATTGTGACGAAAAAACAAAAAAAAATGATTTTGATAGGAAAATAAATTTTCTCAGTTCTGACGAAAAAATAATTTTTTTTTATTTTGATAAAATAAAAAAAAATTTAGACATTGACAAAAAAACAAAATTTCTTAGTTATATTGCAAAAATAAAAAAATTCGGTTTTGACAAGAAAATATGAATTTTTGGTATTGATATAAAAATACAGTTTTCTAATTTTGTCAGAAAATATAATTTTATAATATTGACAAAAATATGTAATTTTTTAGTTTTAGCTAAAAATATGATTTTTTAGTTTTGATGTTTCTCACAGATGCTAACTACTTTGCTCCTCGTATAATTGTTCTTGTTATATCCTCCATGTTACATCATATAATATTTTTTTCCCGTGTATAGTAAAGAAATGAAACTTTTAAGTTACAAAATTATTATTTTAAAAGGTATCGTTTTAAGATTTAAAGTTAACCTGCAAAGAAAAAGTCTCAAAAAAAAATTGTAGCAAAAGAAAAGAACAAAATGTTTAGAAAGAGCAAAAAGCATGCGAATTACAAAAAAAATTCTAGCAAAAGAAAAGAACAAAATGTTTAAAAAGAGCAAAAAGCATGCGAATTCCTAAAAAAGTTCTAGCAAAAGAAAAGAACAAAATGTTTAGAAAGAGCAAAAAGCATGTGAATTCCTATTTCTTGGTGCTCGCCTTGAAATGCAACCTTGCCATCAAAGGCCGAGGGGCTCTGCTAGTCGACTCAAAGCCTCGAACACACACGAAACCTGCAATCAGAATTCAACAATATTGTAACCAGTGTGTGTATGCTATGTCCAAAGTTGATGAGGAGGAGCAATGTGTTTCTACGGTTCCACGGGTAAGAAATTAATGGTACCTTCCCAAAAGCAAAATTTTATCCGCTCCAATGAAAGACCTGCGTAAATTCCACAAACCATATTAAGATTTTTTTTTTTATACAAAGAGAAAGGCGAAGCTTCTATGTTTTGGAAATTTGATCAATGTGAATAATTTTACCTCTGAAAATAGAGGTCACTGAGGTTCCAAAGAATACGGTTTTCCTTGGTAGATCCCACAGCAAAGATCTAGGAACCTCGATAGGACTGAGACTAGAGGCATGGTCAGCAAACAGCTGCAAAATAAAATTTGACAAATAAGGATCAAAAATCAAAGTAAATACAAGAGAATGTTTCCATGTATTTTTGAGTTTCTTTTTCAGTTAACCTCGTTCACTTGGAAGTACGTCCCGTTCAGCGGGAATCTTCCGCCCGTGGCAGTGCGACAAGGTACCTGTGAATTAAGAAAACCTCTATTAGTAACTTGTATTCTCATTTCTCCTTTTTCATGAACGCTACAAAACCTCTATACAATCTCACCAGAATGGTTCCCCTAACTGTCTCCTCCATACTGCACGGCTGAGCTGAATTCTCCTCACCTAGCAAACAAACAATTACATTAGTTAACCTAATCTATTCCAACTTTGATTTGACATATTCCAAACGCCTTGTATTATCTTCACCTGGTGTCCAAATGGCAAGGAGATAAGGACTAGGGTCAAGGGGGTCTCTTTTATCCATCTGCATATTGATAAAATGAGAAGTGTTGTTGAAGTTAAAAATGTAGAGTATATATATAGGACAAACAATTGACTTACCCTATTCACAAGGGGATGTGTATCGGGGAGCACATACCTACAAGCAAACACACATTTCTCAGAGCTATGCATTTTTCCCAAAATGTATATAAAAGATAAAATAGAGGAGGAGATATCAGCTTACACTAAATACTCGGTTCTCAAGCGGCTCGTGCTTTTTAGTTTGGGAGTTGGAATAGTAGTGGTAGTATTCAAAGCAACCAAAGCTTTGGACATGTCACCTTCTTCAAGATTCATGTTTCGCTCCATGTGTTCCCTAAGCGTCGCGGTGAACTGTCTGATGTTGAGTTCTAGTGTTTCGATCTCGTCAGGGTCCTCATTGTAGTAAGAATCTTCAATGTCACTGTCAGGGTCCTCATTGTAGTAAGCATGTTCAATGTCACTCTCGGTTAACTCAGTGCATTCTTGCTCCGGCGAGGCCGGTTCCTCGATAAGAGGCTCACTGTTAACTCCATTCGATGGTGCTTCCCTGGTTAGGCCTTTCTCCAGAGGGGGAGTTAGTTCCAGCATCGGGATGGCTGCAGGAGGAAATGACTTCGGGATAGTTGCACTGGTTGAGCTCCTCTCGTCTGGTGCCGGCAAAGCAAGTCTTGCACTGTAACAATTGTAATGGAATCAGTCATCGAATCCCAAAGATGTAAGTCGAAATTAGTGCATAGAATTGCATGAAAGCTTGCTCACCTAGCATACGCACTCGCATAGTGTCTGCATTGTCCTCTCATAGGGCATGCGTTACAGTTCGGTTTACTCTTGGTGCAAAACACCTGACACGAGTTCACATGATTTAAACACATATTAGACCTGAGTAACGCTTCAAAGTACCGTATAATAGATTCAAAGATTAGCGGATTAATACCTTTCCAAATGTGATGAGTTGATAGTGCAACTCATACCTGAGTAAGAAAAAAAAAGGACGCTTATTAATTTCGCTGTTAGTAATGAAGATAGAATTCTAAAAACAGAGGAAAAACTGGTTTTTCAGACAGATAATTTGTAGAGTTTAAGAGCGTACAGCGTAGCTTGATCCATTTTGCAGAGCCTTGGCCAAAGATACTTCTGGATGGACTGGAGGACTGGGTATCTGTGGAGGAACTGCATGGTTATGATTTGCCAAAACCTAAAATCTTTAGTTGCTTGATGAGAAAGAAATAAACTTACAGCTCCAGGAGGTGTAACTGAAGTGAATCAGGTAGAGTCTGTAGAGGCACCCATCCCAGCCTAACGGCTATCCTTCCCACATTCGTGTCAACCTTTCACATCATCAATACGATTTCCAGTTTAGTACGCCAGAGTTAATTTAATTATAAGTAGCTAATGATATAGTCTGACTTACAGGGAAAGCGAGGTTGTGGAGTGTTAAGAGTCGCACGCACTCTACACTCTTTAAACCAAGTCCTCTTATGCTCAAGAGATAGTCCCTGTGAAATGATCAACAGCAGCTTGTTTCAATATTCAGTCTGACGTAATTGTTGAGTAAAATGATTTTAGTTTTGCATAGTCATTAAAAAATGAGGTTTACTCACTTAGCTTTATCAGCAGGAACTTCCCTTAGCCATTCAAGGTCAACGGCACCATGGTCTTTAACTATCCGCTCAAGGAAATCCTGCAATAAGGTCCCATCATTTTAGATATGGCTACATAATTTACTGGTGTTCAAGCCTTCTGGCAGAAACTAAGAGGCTCTCAAATCGACATCTGTAGATTTACCTTAATCCGTACTGCCAACATGTGATTCATTCCTCTTTCCTTGATAGCCTCGGAGATCTCTTGGATACTAGCACGTCTTATTGCTTCATAGTCCATGGAATCCATACTGTCTTCGCTTCGTTCCTTTCTCTCTCCATTCCCCACCACATCCTTTCGGAGACTGTCCCAATGGCTTGTAGGCTTCTTCCCATCATTAAGCGTCCCTTTCATCTCTCGTACAACAGTAGGATTAGTTTCGTTGTATTCACGCTCTTTGCTACTGGAATTCGATTCTCCCATTATGTTTAGCAAACTTGTAATATCCACATCTTCAGCAGTTCTATCTCCGGTTAGAAGGTCACACGAGTTAAGCAGATCCGTGAATGTACTTAGTAACTGTTGATTATGTTGAGCATCGCCCTGATGCACCTGGTGGGGGCTTGAGGACTTAGGCGATCCCATTCCTGCTACTCCATGAGCTTTTGATGCTTTTTTCTGACCTTTGAATTTTCGTGGAACATTTCCACCTTGTCTCCGAGGTGCATTTTTTTTCTTTCCTTTGCCTCCACCTTGCATTCCAAAGTCCTCTATATCTTCTAACTCATAACTGCTAGAAGGGTTGGGCGGTCCTTTTTTCCAATCAGAAGGAATCTCATCTGAGTTCAGAATGAATCCTTCAGGATCTTCAACAACAACAACGCTTCTACTATTCCTTTCAGTTTCTACCTTCTTCCTTGATTTTGGAGGGAATCTTGAGGCTAGAGACATGAAAGCAGAGCTGCATGGAAAAAACACCACGGTTTATTTTTTATGTTTTGAAACACTATTTGACATGCTTAAGAATCTTAAAGCAACCCATATACCTTGAAAGGTGATCGGAGACATTCTGTGTCAAGAAGACTCCAACGACCGAATCAACCACCGAGCCCTTCCATGGTGAAAATCGTCTATCTCCTGTAAACATTTAAGCTCAATAGGTCATCCATACAAGAAAAATAAGACATGCAATGTGAATAAAGACAGAGTTGAGAGTGTTATGGGTATTCACCTTGTACAAGATGCATAATGGAGATGAATGAATGGGCCCTCCTTTCTAAAACTCTTCTCTCTTCTTCCCACCATTTCTCTTTTTCCTTATCCATCTCTTCATGTCGCTCTTTCTCTCCTTTCCCCATCAACAGATTCCATAACTTAGTCGTTTCAGCATCAATGTCCACTTTAGGCCTAGGCTTCTGTTTTTTAGCAACAAATGGGACCATGGCATCTTCTTTTTCATGCTGTCTCTTGCCATGTTGTTGTCCTCCGGTTGACATAACAAGCTCACTTCCACTCGCCAAATGCAGGTTACCAAATGGAACAAGAGGTTGGTAGTTATCTTGCCTCGCATCAATTGGTTGTCGATTTCCACCACCAGCAAGTAAATAAGTATGCAAAAATAAGGGCCGCCGGTGCTGCTTTACGCTCGCCAAATGCAGGTTACTAAATTGAAGAAGAGGTTGGTAGTCAGCTCCAATCTCCACATGCAGGTTCCCAAATGGTACTAGAGGTTGGTAGTCACCTTGCCTCGCATCTCCAGTTTTATCCAAGTCAAAACTCAAAGCTTTTCTGCAACTTTTGCCTCCAGCATTATTTTTAGTTGCCGACTCTTTCAAGTTTGTCTTTTGGGCTTTCTTCTTTTTGCCACTCCCGGTTTCTTTAGACTTCACAATTTCCTCCTTCCTTTTAGGTTTGTCATCCTTGAGCACCTTAGGCAAGTACTTTTTCTTGTTGGTGGAGGGTTTCTTCGTCGGAGTCTTGTTAAGATCAAACCCCAGATCATTTTTTCTGCTGTCATCCTTTTGTTCAGCAACTTCCGTCGGTTTAACAGCAGGCGGGTCCACAAAGCTCTGCGTGCGTTTGTCAGATTCCAGAAATCCATTCGCTTGACCTGTTCTGCACAGACTTGGGGTTGACGGTACAGGTTGAAAAGAACTTTCACGGATGGGCCCATCTGCTTCTATTCTTGGTGGTGAATTCAGAGCTCCATCTGTGGAAAACAATGCCAAATACAGAAGATTTGAGAATTGTTCCACACTAAGTAGTGCAAAAATGGGCAGAACAAAAAAAGAAGAAAAACCTGAAAATAAATTTGATTACTCACATTGATGAGGAACCTGGAACAAGTTATCTCCACCACTCAGCAGGCTTGTGAAGGACAGACCGGAAGCCCACAAGTCATCCGATTCATCAAACTCAGTATAGCCACCTTGAAAACTGCCACTCTTGATGAGACCGTTGTTTCCATGGACCGGCTCCACATAACCGGCGGTGTTTCTGATCCCGGCTTGCTCATCTACGACCACACTTGATCTGCCTTGCAAGGGTTTACTGGGTGTGATTGGAATCCACGAACCCATGCACTGAAAATCATCAGTTTCACTCTCCATAGGATCTCCAGGAATTACAAAAAAAAAAATCTGCAAAATAAAAGACAGTAAAACTCAGATATTTTTCCGAAAAATGGAGCAAAATTGGTTTTTAAAATGCAGAATCGGATTCAGGTGTTAATGGGTGAGATTATAATCATAAAGCAGCAATATGAAATTGATGATCGGGAGATGTAACAGCTTATTAGAGAAAGAAAAAAAAAAGGAAAAAAGGGAAATACAAATTTTAGAATCGGAAAATGGAGCTTGAAACTTACCGATCTGATCTGTGAAAGCAAGCGTAAGGATACTCAGGCGAGTCAATGACGTATAAAATAAGTTAGGTTTGCCGTTACAGAGAGAAGGAGAGTGGGGAGGTGTGCCGTTACAGAGAGAAGGAGAGTGGGGAGGTGATGAAGAAAGCAAGCAGTGAAAATCATTTAGATTTATGTTTCTGTTGAATAAAAGGGAAATACAAAACAATAAATAATAATACGATAGAAAATAAAGTACATAAATGACCGGATACCTGCAAAAGGAAAATTCGATTTATACCTGGTTTTTTAATGCCTAAACTAATACACTACCAATAAAGTAAATAAAATCTCGGCTATTTTGTATAATACGTAGATAATCTACAGTACATTCAAACAAATACTATAATATTTATAACCATCGTTAGACACACACTTTGATGTCAAAATCATAGAATGTTGAAAAACATACATTACAAAAATAATCTATCATAAAATCACGATTTTTGAATGCTTACAAAATAAAATAAAATAAAAATAGGAACCGAATTAAACGGGTGTACCCAAGATAAAACACATTTATTGCAAATTGCGAGTATTTTTCCATACAAATAGTTTTGACTTAATTAAGTTGTTGTATAAAATAAAAACGGAAAGGCATGTTTTTCGCGTGTATACCAACAATGTTACAAAACCTTTAAAATATACGATGAATTTCAAAAAAAAAAACTGACAGTCAAAATTAGTTAATATGAGATATTTACTATTTTAAGATAAGAATAAAATTGAACACGTGATTTATTACAGGTGGAATTTTAGTCACCAACACCGATTTAACGTGATACTTCTGACAAACTTGTAGCTATTTGAGTAAAGAAAACGTCGAAATTAAGTTAATAAAGAAATTAAAAGTGTTAAGTATAAGATTAGTGGTTTCCATTTCCACACTGTCGATAAATGGTGCAACTATAACCGTCAATAACAGGTGGTAGACCAGTACGTGTCTTGCATGCATACTAATTAATATTGGACGATAAATGTTTTCGATATATTAAAGAAAAAAAGTTACTATATTATGCAACTGAAACCGCCAGCAACAACTGGTAATTGGTAGATGAGCACGAGTTGCTTGCATACATATCGATATTGGCGTACCATGAGATTTGTTAACATATAGAGAGCAATCTATAAGCTATTTTGATAGTGAACAAATATTGTTATTAATTATATTATGTTTACTTGGTCTAGTGATATTATTTTAACGGAGATGCCATATCTCTTGAGAGTCGGTGAAAGAAAGTGCAAATAGATATCCCCAACCTATATTCACCAGTTTTTGATAAAAATAAAATCAACATTCAAGTTCAACGCATATTAACAATTTCATGGACATTACAAATGCGACGACATTACTTTAGTTTTACTTTTACTTTTACATATTATTAGAATGCGTATACAAATAAATCCGAATCAACAAATATAAAGCTTCCTTTCTGCATTATGTTATACACTTTATTTAATAGAATTCAAAAAAAAAAAATTGCGAATCATCGTTTTCTTCCTTACCGTGAATATATTATTAGCTGTTTAAAATTTTTAAATTGCACTCATCAAATTAAGCAATTAGACTCTTTTACTTGACCCATTTTGAATTCAAAACCCGACCCGACAGTTAAGAAATTGTATAAACGACAAGTTTCCGCGTGCTAACCATTAAATGATTGTGACGGATCTCTTCCTAACCCAAATACTAGCTCCACTTTAGTCCCTCATCTTTCGTATAAATCTTCTTTTACACCAAGGTAAGGATATCTGATCCAATAGTTTCTTGCATGTTGCTCCTTAATTCTCCAGAGATCTGGTTTGACTCCCACAAATTTAGTTTTGTTCCCGTTGGCCCCAAAGCAAGAGACATGTCACAGGTCACGAGTCACACGAATCATTGTATTCGTCTGTACGAGTCACGAATCATTATTACGAAATTCTTGCTCTGTTTCAGAATTATATTCGTGGGAAGAAGATTCTGTAACACAATTTCTTCTATCTGTAAACTGTAAATTGGTTACTTATTTATTAGTCAACCTTCTTAGTAACGAAAATACGATGTTGTTGGTAAGAGAGTAAAGTAAAAAAATTTATAACATAGTAATGAATATTTCTTTTTTTTACAATAAGCAAGAAACATTTATCATCGTAAAAACTAGTTTTTCGGAGCAAATATTTGCAACGATTTTTCTTCGTAATGCAAACGCCTAGGACGCCAATCGGTTACGTGTTTCAGAGATGAAACATAATTCAAAGTTAACCAAAAAAGTACACCAAGTTTTAGACTTCAATATACTTGATTGACATAAATACAATGGTTCAGATACTAAAAGTAAATATATTTTGTTGAAGAAATTGTTAACTTTCTTTTAACATGATAGTTGTAAACGTGGTTTTTTTTAACCCCTCACAGGCTCACACATGACACGAAAGGTGCATGCTCTAACAAGTAAGAATCCACTTAACACCTTTAAAATAGTTTCCAATAAATACAAAATAAAACCTAATTGGAAGTATATCGCTTTCATATTTGACAAATTCAACGTCAACCAAACTAATTGGGTCAATTTTTTCCTACCGTTTCTGTTAAGTTAAAAACTACTTGGTTTTTTATTAGGCTTTCTTCAAATGGAATTACTAAAAAAATTATTGGATCATGCATGCATGCATGCGGTCTTAAATTGACATGGGTCGATCTATTTAATTTTGAAAAATGTCAAAGCTTACGATATCATTTTCTTGAAGTACATATAAGATTTGTTTAACCAATTTAAATTTTGTGGATGCAAATTTGTCGAAGGTTATATTGTGGTTAGAACCGATCTGGGTTCCAATAATTAAGAAGAATCCTTTTCGGGCCATTAGTTAATGACATTTGAAAAAAGTTTTGTTTTCTTTTAAAAGGAGATAATTGAACTCCCCTCCATCTTATTCAACTAAAGAAATAATTTGTAGTATTGGTGACCCCTAAAATCATGAAGACATGTGAAGTTTCAAACTCAAACATTCCCATTTTAGGATCAGAGCTGGTTTTGATGGTGATCATTTCATGTAGTGTTGGTTAGAGATATTATATAGGTCTATAAAAACGTGGATGATAAATTATTTATTTAAAATCTAAAATTTATCCACGAAGCCGTTAACAAAAGAAAAACAAATATAGGATCTAACAAAATCTCCTTATTTTTTCCTTGTATATTTTGTTGAACGGAATTCCACACAATTTTAAGGAAATATAATAATTGTTATGATTTTGTTTTTATATTTGGACGAAAAAGGCACGCACTTGTCAAACAATCTGGCTCCAAAAAGTGAAAATCATAAAAGTTTGAGGCAAAAAACGTAATAATCTTTTGGAAAAGTACTAAACTAAAAATATAAAAAGGCAAATATAGGATTCTTTCATACGAACTTGACTCGCTCAGTATCTCTCTCTCTCTCTCCCCACAATTTCCTGCTTTAACCTCTCTCCATGTGGGATGTGGCTATAGTCTTCACTGCATCTTCCTCCCCACTTTCTCTCTCTTCCTGTACTTTCCTCCTCTCTTAATTTCTTTCTTTCTCTCGCTCTCTTTTTTTTTTTTCTCCAGATTTTTCTCTGATTCACATCTTTTCTTCGAATGATCGGTAAGATTCTCCTTTCGCACTGTTACGCGCTTCCTCGGTTGGGGTTTTACTGTTCCTTGTCTGTTTCTGGATTTGCCGACAATTCTAATTCGAATCATACGTCTTCAGTGAATTTTTTCTTCTGTGGGGGTTCTAATTTAAGTTCCGAGATCGTGTTGCATACTGCAGCTGGAGATTTTCCTTAGAAACCGATTTTGTGGTTGGTAGAGTTTGCGGTTCTGGGTAAATTAGAGGATTTCTGTAGCTAGATTTCCCTCAGTTTTGGCCAAATCCAATTACTATTTCTTGTGTAGGAGCTAACTTCCTGATGTTTTCTTGATGTTCTTTCTTACTTCCTTCTGGGGTTTTGCTCCGAATATGATTTTTAGTTCGAGATTTGAATTCTGGGTCTGTGTGTTTGATTGATTTTGCACTTCCTCACTTGCTCCTGATGTGAATTTATAGCGCATGAGACACTGCTGATTGTATTTGGTTTCTTTGTTTCATCTATTGCAACGCAGCAGGCTGAGAGAGGATGGTTTCAGAGACTTGGTTTCGTAATCTGTGGAGATTTCCAAAGAAGCACGACGGTCATAAAGATAAGGCGGTGCTCGGTGTGTTGGCGTTCGAGGTTGCGAGCCTGCTGTCGAAACTTGTTCATCTGTGGCAGTCCCTGAGTGACAAGAATGTTGCAAGGCTCAGGGACGAGATAACGCACTCCACGGGTATAAAGAAGCTAGTTTCTGAAGACGATGACTTCATCGTGAGATTGATACGCGATGAAATGATGGAGAACGTGGAGAATGTATCCAAAGCCGTGGCTAGGCTCGCTAGAAAATGCAACGATCCCAAGCTGAAGAGCTTCGAGAACTGTTTCAGTGAGATGATGAAGACTGGGGCTGACCCATATGGTTGGCAGTTTGGGTGGAAGAAAATGGATCGAAAAGCAAAGAAGATGGAACGATTCATATCATCAAATGCGAGCCTCTACCAGGAGACCGAGATTCTGGCGGATCTTGAACAGACTTTCAAGAGGATGATGAGCAATGAATCTGCAACCGACAATCTACTGGAGTACCAGAAAAAAGTTACATGGAAAAGACATGAAGTGAAGAATCTGCGGGATGTCTCTCTTTGGAACCGTACCTATGACTACACCGTCCTTCTCTTGGTTAGATCAATCTTCACAATCCTGAGTAGGACTAAACATGTTTTTGGCATTAGTTACAGAGCAGAGGCAAGTGATGTTAGCTCCGCAGATTCTGATTTCATTGGTCGCAGCCACTCGGTTTCTACAATTTTGACACCTGCGTCTCATCGATCCGAGACCACAGGCCCTCCTAGATTTGCTTCTGGTCCCCTCGGGAGATATACAAGTCCAGCATCAGGTTCAGTTGCTACAAGGTCCACGAAGATGAGTGATTTCCTTTCGGGTTCCCTCAGCGCCGAGTCCCCAAAGTCGGGTCCTCTTGTTGCAGAAAAGAACAAACGTTTCAGGTTTTACTCGGGTCCGCTCGGAAAGATCACCTCCAA